CTAAAATCAAACATCTATTTTTTTTATATATGTTTGCAGCCAATCTCCTTTAGTCCTTAAATCTTAATAAAACCGCTCCAAAAGCTTGAGTCACGAATGGTCCAGCCACCACTTAGTACGAGTGTAATTTATTCCCATACTTTCATCCATGGTTGGAGAAATCATGCTTTGGGCCTTTATTATGTATTCAGTTCACACGACACACACAGTGCTTTGACGCTTTTAATTCATTTATTGCTGATAATGCATGTTAAACACGGCAACATGTGTTACTAAATGTGACTGTGGAGAGACAGACATTTGAATTAATTTTTTTCAATTTTTTATTTAGTGATATAGGAGACAAGTGCATACAAGTACAGTGTGACAGATACACGGAAGACAGTAAGGTGAATTTACAAGTAAAGACAAATAACAACTGACAAAATATACATGGAGACAAAAAAGAAAAGAAAAACAGTGTGTGTCTTACTGTGTGTGTGTGTGTGTGTGTGTGTGTGTGTGTGTGTGTGTGTGTGTGTGTGTGTGTGTGTGTGTGTGTGTGTGTGTGTGTGTGTGTGTGTGTGTGTCTGTGTGTGCGTGCGTGCGTGCGTGCGTGCGTGCGTGCGTGCGTGCGTGCGTGCGTGCGTGCGTGCGTGGTGTGGTGTGGTGTGGTGTGGTGTGTGTGTGGCAGATGGCGCAGTTATGTATTGTATTTAATTTTTGTTGAAGTATTTCAGTAAAAAGCAACCTTAGCAAAACAGGAAATTATGTCAAATTCATATTTTAAGAATTAGCAAGCACCTATCTATTTTCAAACGTTTTATTTAGCTAATGTTGCAAAATCGCTACTGTAATTTTTGAATGCGAAATATTGGAATATTTTGCATTTTTGTTGTTGTTTACTCTCTCATGATTTTAAGTTATTTCAGGTTGAAAATATCCCGTACAACCACAAATTAAAAAGGGCTTCGGTACAGGATTAGTGTAGCATCAGTGTGGACATTTATCATGTCTCTGCTGTTATGTATGGGTTGTAGATCTTAAGAGGATGACTACAAGGGATCCAAATTAAGTTTATTATCAGAGATATTTAAGTTAATTGATTTTCTACATAAAAGGAAGGCTCCTTGCACATTTGCTTGAGCTTGAATTTAGTTCACCTTATAGTATAGTCCCTGTTCATCCCTTTATAACCATTTATTGCCACCACGACAAATAAATGGTGTGCATAATATATATTTTAAAAGTAATAATTCCAATATTATGTCCTGCTATACATAACCCTTTCTTTGCATGACCTCTAAGTGTCCATGTGAGCCACTAAAGAACAGAAAAAAAGCTGCGCTACCTTGGGCGCTTTATAGGTGGACAGGCAGGGAATCGAACCCCAACCCTCTATAAGTGGAAAGGGACTGCGGTGAACCTTGTAGTTGAGTGCAGCCCTTTGTTAACAGCGAGGGTTAAGAGAGCTGTTTGTGCTCTACATGGAACTGTTTTCCATCTCCCTCTTTCAGCATGTTGTCCCTCTCTAAACCTTTCTGTTCCCCATTCTTCTTTCTCCAATAAGTGGTGCATCATTATTTTTCTATTAAATATGACATTGGGGAATAAATCGCTGTCGTTGTTTTGTTGAGAGTTCCATCCATTTAGACATACTTCATCCTCCTGTCACGGAGTTCAAGCACTTAGACTTAGAGAGTTGGGCGGGGAACAAATATTATGCTCGTCACAATCATGTAAGTATGTATTTGAAGACAAAAACAAATGTTTGCTTCAGCATGCAGACTGTGCCAAGTAAAGCCATATTCCTCCAGTCTCTGTATTAATGCTAGCGCTGGGTGACCATAAATCCACTGGAATATACTATACCACATCACTCACACACACACACACACACACACATTTTGCAAATTTCAACTGATTGACAGCTTATTTTTGGTCAATTTCTACCTTTATCTTCACCTAAATTAATTTTCTTGAATTCTGGCAATCTCAAAAGTATCACCAAATGATTGGGCATCCCTAATTTAGTTGGATATGACACCTTAAATGTTTTTCTACAATGTTTGGTTCCAAAATTAAGCGTGTTTGAACATTTGACCCGAGAGACTGGCGGTCATCTTGGATTTGACCTCTCACGGTCCTCACAGGTCAAATCTGACTTCCCTCCACATCTGAAAATAAACCTTATGGTATGCTCTGACTATGTTAGAAATGTCATGCTTTTCTAATAAAATGCACAATTGTTGTGCTTATCCGTTAGTAACCTCATCATGACTAATCAAGTGACCTTGTTGTCTGTAAGATGTAAGGTGTGTGTGTGTGTGTGTGTGTGTGTGTGTGTGTGTGTGTGTGTGTGTGTGTGTGTGTGTGTGTGTGTGTGTGTGTGTGTGTGTGTGTGTGTGGGTGTGTGTGTGTGTGTGTGTGTGTGGGTGGGTGGGTGTTTGTGTGTGTGTGTGTGTTTGAGGGGTTAGACAAAAAGAGAGTAATAAATGAAAAAATTATAATTAAAATGATATGAGTAACGATATAATAGTCATGTATCCTGGGGGGGGCTGGGGGGGGGGGCATGTAAATAGTAGCAGGACCTTAAAGGAGTGAGGATTATTAATTAAATGTATCAACGAATGGGTTCCAGATTGCATCAATATCAGTGGTTTGTCTTTTTATGCCGGCAGATAATTTTTTCATTGAAATGTATTCCATAAGAAGATTGCTTTTGGGTCGTGATTTCGAATTCTAGAGGATAGTTGTTTTTTGCAATGATTAGGGCTATGGACAGAATTGTACTTGATGTAATGCTGATGTTCACATTGGAGACGGCCATTTTCATAATCTCAAAGTGAAACTCAGCAGATCCTCCTGAGGTCTCAGCACGTTAACACACTCTGTATCTCGTCTGTGATTGACCCCGCTAAGTGACTGGGTTACTGTCCCGGAGTTTACCATGGCAGCAGGTAACAAGGCATTATACAAGATAGAAATCAATCAAATGATCCTCAAGAGCCCAGTGTGGGGTTGTGTAACCAACCTTGGTTGTCCATATAATCTGTCACAAATGATGACAGAGGAGGGTAATAAGGGAGCATATTCCCACCGTCATTGTCACAGTCAATCCCTGGAGGAAGTAAGAGACCACAAGGAGAGGAGTTCATGTTGAGAAGAGACAAACACACCAATTCTGCTGCAGAAATAATAAAAGAGATGAATGTTTACAGCATTTCCAGGGAGTGCAATTTTTGATTGTGGATTTCCCTGTACGTCCCTCAGGAGCTGTTTTCTCCTATTGCCTTTCCCCCACATCAGTTCACCATGTGTTGCCAGATGTACCCTACAGCTGTGCCAGATAAACTCAAGTACCACTTGTGTGTTCATTTCATCTGATATGTAATTGGATATTCTATTTATTACACAAAAGTGGATATTGATGCTATTATTTGTTCACACACTCATGGTACTCAAGTATTTGTACTACTACTTATCCATTCCTTTAGATTTACACATAATTTGTTTGGTACACAACAGCTCAAAGGCTTTATTTGTCTTATATACAAAAGGCACATGATAGTTTTGGCATTTCAATCTTAAGTCCAAGTCTCCTCCAACGCTGCAAGGATAAAACAAGCGTAAAAAAAGAAGAAGATAAAACTGAATGGAAAATTAAATATTGTACAGTGAATAAATACTGTAATAGCGTTTAAATATGTCGAATAAATGGATGTCCAGATGGAGCTACATTAGCCTGCATATATTTTTCAACCATTTATCCTGTTTTCCACCTGTTTATTTGTGACTTTTAATAACTGTGTAGACCTCTCTGCTCTCTTGCTAATTAGTTTTCACACTCAAATTACAGAAGGCCTATTATGCATTTATGTTTAACTTTTAGTTGAGCTAGTCAAAACATATTGAGTTTATTCCCTACATGAAAACAACAGAGAATATATTTCTTACCCTTAACATTTATTTGTGTTTTCTATTCCCTTTTTCTGTGTGACTTTCATAAAAGGATGTCGCCTTTTAAAAGACACACAGAGTACACACAGAATAACCCCTTTGTGTTATTACTACATTCTTCCTGCACTGTCATCGCTCACCATTTAGCCCCAGCAATAGAGGACTGTGTGCTCTTTCATTGTGTACATGACAACACCTACCAGCTGATAGCATGCTGGCCTGGTATCAGAAAACGACTAGATAAATCACATTGTGTGTGTGTGTGTGTGTGTGTGTGTGTGTGTGTGTGTGCGTGCGTGCGTGCGTGCGTGCGTGCGTGCGTGCGTGCGTGCGTGCGTGTGTGTGTCGCAAAGAGGGCCAATTCAATGGAGGTATTGAATTCACTCTGGATGTAGACTGCACCTCGGCACTTTCTACATGAATCTATGCCTGTCCAGGGATAATTTGCCATGCTTAATTTAGTCTTGTGTGCACAGAGTGGCAATTTCAACCAAGTAATCACAGCACCCCCAAGAGGGAGACCGGTGTGTTACACTAAAGAACAAAAGTCTCTCCCTCTCATCTCGACTCTCTCATGTCCTTCCATTTTCTTCCCCCTCTGCTGCCCCCCACACAAGTGCAGATAAGGGACGCTTGCCTTATTCCCTTGTGATGCCTTTGTAATGCAGTGCAGGGCTTGAAAAGAGAGTAGTGGCACCTGGAAGAAGTGCTCACATGCTGTTTGCTGTTTGGTGCGTTTTGGGAATTTCCGAGCGGATTCGGAGGAGTTCCAGGCTGAAGGCTGAGCTGGCAGAGACACACGGAGGCTTCTCAGGAGGAGAGAAACGTCTCCGAGTCCCCAGACAAGCTTAGGCCGAAAGCTAATACCAGTTATTGTAGCTGTGCGCCCTAGTTTGCTGTGAGCTCTGTCCCATATATCCTTCTATTAACTGAGTCTGACATATCCATAAGAATGATGGAGGGGCTTTTTTTTGCAAAGCCATTTCCTTCCTGTGCTGAATTCTAATGCCTGTACAAATGGGGCAGAACAGTGTGTCTGATCTGATGGTGTGTGTTTTCAGAGGCGACCGTCATCACCACCCTGCCCACCACGCTGGACATCACCGTGGGGGAGAGCGTGGTCCTGCCCTGCCAAGTGAACCACGACCCCTCCCTGGAGCTCAAGTTCACCTGGTTCTTCAACGAGCAGCTCATCTACTTCGGGAACCATGAGGGATTCTTTGAAAAAGTGGGAGGCGTAAGTCTATAATCTAATGTTTTCTGACAACCACCATGCTGTGTTGCTGTGAAGACAGGTTTCCCATTCACAAACAATGAAAGATGCAGCAAGGTGTTCAAAATCAAGTTGCTACATTGTCATGATGGCTAGTATGTTATGGACATGTTCACTAGGTACGAAGCAACTTAAGGGATACCTTTTTATGAAAAATTGCTTTCCTAAAACTTTTCTTATACATACGACATGGACATACATTGTTCAATATTGACAGTTGAAATAGACATCTATCAAACATACCTAGCTTACATTTTGCATGAAATGCCAGCGAGAAACAGCAGCACAAATACACAAAATAAGACCTTGCAGGTAGTAAAAAAATCACCTTTTTGTGTCTCAAAATGCTAACAGACTATGTTGCTTAATGGCATACAAGACGTTTTATATAAGTAAAGTTAGCATAACTATGAACAAGTAACATTAGCATCTATAACAAAAAGAAAAGCAACGTTACCATAACAACATTTAGGTGTTAACAAGATAAAAGTAGATGTAACATAATCAGTAAAAGGACAGCAAGAGTAACTTAATCAAAGTAACATTAGAAAACCAAAAAATGAAATGTTAGCATTAAAAAGTAACGTTAGCATAATAAAATAAAAGCAGAAACCTTCTGATAGCTAAATTAAAGTAACGTTAGCATAACAAAAGTCAGAGTGAGGTCAACATATATTAATTTCAGAGCGTAGAATCTGCCTCATTAGTATTGTTATGTGACCTTCATGCTGTCTTGCATAAAAAAATACTTCACTAGATTTATAGCAGATATTTGTTAGATCTCATACATACTGTATTCAAGCAATGTTTCCTGATATTAAACTGTAAATACAGGGTGTGCAATGAGAATGACTCATCTGTCACACAGCCACATAAAAAGCCTTGATGTGATTTAGTTTCCATTTCAAATATTATGATAAAGTGCTATAGTTGCCATCTAGAGAAATCAGTCTGCCGCTCTATCAGCTGTCACCACAAGTTGCTCTCTGAACTTCAAATGAAACTTCATAACAGTTTTGGCTCCTTTGACTCAATACAGGAAATACTTCCTCACCAGTTTCTGTTCAAAACTATCCCCACCTCATGATGTTGAAGAATGCTCTTTTCATTACTGCCCCTGTGCTCTTCTGCTACATAAAAAGACGCCTTCAGAAATTCCATTGAATAAAGGTCAAGAGGTGACTGATTCATTGGTACATCAATACTATACTTTCTTTTTTCTTTTAGCAGGGTCATAATCAATTCAGCCGCAGTGCAGGGGGAATGTTTGTATCAAGTGTATTATTTATGGGCTGAAAATTGCTGCCTCTGGTTTATTTTTAAAATAAATTTACATACACACCCTGCAACCAGTCTTAGTCAGCCGGTATATACTTTTTAAAAGGTTTGTAGCTTACATCCCAGCTTGTGATACGCAGGGCTATTTTTTCCCCCCCAAAAAATTCAAGGCTCCTTCAAAAACTGCAGGAGTAGAGGAAAAAAAACAGCTTTCTTTCCCGTTTCATCCCCAGTTAAGGTGCTTCTTATACCATAATTTACAGTCTCCGCTCTCTAATAAATTGCTGTTCATCTGCACTTACATTGATTAAGCTAGTAGCCACTCCACATAATTCTAACTGCCATTGTGCCAAAGCTTGCCAATGTATTAAAGCTCCCATGTCATGCTTTTCCGGTTATTACCCGTCCCCTTGTGTGTTATGAAGGTTTTTATGCATGTAAACGGTCTGCAGAGTCAAAACCCTCAAAGTACACCCTGTAGCGAGTAAAACTCTAACACAGAAAATACCTCCCCAAAACGCCTCGTTGGAGATACGTCACTGCCCATTTGAGTCTTCCATTTCGTTCCGGGTACGGCATGATGTCAAGCGGTACCCGGAACGAAATGGACCAATCCCGAAGAGCCGTTACGTTACGTCCGCGGAGCCGTTACGTTAAGCCCCCGCTGATTGGTCCAAATTAACCAATCCACAAACTTCCTCACACACACATCTGTGTGCAGGGAGCAGGCAGCTCAGCTGATTTCTCCTCCCTGGCTGCAGGCTGATAACAGACAGTTGGGATCGCAGCAAAGTTCTCTCTGCAGACCCATTCTCACAGCGTTTATCAACCTTTTTCTTACTCAATATCAAGCCACACTTATTGTTTTTACTTCGGATGTGAGTTTGTGTGTGCTCAGGATGAGTTTGGCTGTGTCTCACTATGTATCCTAAACAAGGAAACAACACCTCCACGGAGCTCAGCGCGATTCACAACGTCCCGACCAATCAGAGCACACTGTGCTCACAGGGAGGGTGGGGGCTGGAGCTTTGGGAGCTACAACGAGCCGTTAAAGGCAGAGAGTGAAATTCAGTGAATACACGTAGTTTACAGAGATGCTGTATGAGAAACCAATGTGAGTTTGGAAAAATGCACAGTTTAAATCTATTTTAGTAGACCTCAACAATGGAATTATGATCAGTGGAAATGGCCATGACACCTCTCCTTTAAGCAACCGGCTCTGCTCTGATGAAATGATAATGTAGAAGTGGGGATTGCAATTAGAGATTGTATAAAAAGCTCCCCTAAAGAACCAACTATCAGTCCAGTCATTAGACGAGCCTGAAACGGCTCCATACTGTACCAATATAAGCTATTATATTCGTTTGATTATAGTGCTGAAATAAAAGCATGCATTACGCTCAATATCGAGAGGTATTTCTGGTTCCCTTTTCAGAAAATGGAAGGAAAAAGGTTGCACGGGGAATTATGGATTTATTTTTCAGGATACATATACATGAGAATGAGATTTCTGTTCAGCTGGTTTTGCTCCCAAAGGGCTGGAAAAGTCAGTACTGTTTTTGAATTGCAATAGCTGTATGCTTACCATGTTGCTTACGAAACTGTGTGTGTGTGTGTGTGTGTGTGTGTGTGTGTGTGTGTGTGTGTGTGTGTGTGTGTGTGTGTGTGTGTGTGTGTGTGTGTGTGTGTGTGTGTGTGTGTGTGTGTGGGTGTATTTTTGTGCATGTTTTGAATGACAGCAACATTCGGCAGGAGACATTATGATCCGTAACATCCAGCTAAGGCATGCGGGAAAGTACACGTGCGCTGTGCAAACCAAGGTGGACAGCATTTCCATCGCTGTTGACTTGGTAGTCAGAGGTGAGCCACAACACTCATTATTTGCTTTCGCCACACTTCAATTTAAAACAAAAAAGACCAGATTGTCAATGTTTAAGGCTTGAAAACACTTTAATGACGTACATTTCATCTAGTGCAGAAGAAGGAAGTTATCAAATTGTTATACATGGACATGACCTTTATTGTTTTACGTTAGCTATTTAAAGTACAATATATGGACATAATATTTGTTTAGCGTGATATTGTGTTTGTTTACATAAAATGCAACCAATATGTTGCCCCAATAAGCTACAGGTTTTGTTCCATCTATAAATAATAGACTTTGCCTCAATGTGCATTTTTGCTAACAGAGTCCATTACATTCATTGGTTTAGTTAAGTGGTTTTATTTAATTTGTATTCAATTAGTGAAGGATATATATTATTTTTTTCACATAAAAATATCTGAATGTTGTTAAAAAAAGAATATTCATTGCTTTTTGAAAAAAGTCTTCTTGCATTATGTATCAAATATCAAGAATGTCGATTTTCGCAATTATTACCGGAAAAGTGCAACAAAAGTGGTTGTTGTGACAAGCCTAGAGTTTGATATTGATTAATATGTACTGTGACTGGTTGTGCCTCAGTTATGAAGAAATACCAAGACAGAATAAAAAAGGCAATCTCTCTCTTCAAGGTTAAAATGAAATGTATTGTTTAATTACACCAAATGGCTCCCATAGGTTTCAATGACTTCTCTGTAGTAGCTGCAGGTGTTAAAACCACCGTGACTCTCTCTCTGCCATCTTCCCATTTCTCCCTGATTTACATTTCCTCTCCATCACTCGTCTTCCTCTCTTCTCCGTCTGCCTCTCTATCTCTCTCTTCCTCTTCCTCCTCCCTGCCTGGCTATGCCATCTATCAGGTCCCCCGGGGCCGCCTACCAGCATCCAAGTAGAAGAAATCACTGATACCACAGCCTCTCTGTCCTGGAGGCCTGGTCCCGATAATCACAGTCCAATTACGGTATACACCATCCAAGCCAGGACACCATTTTCCCTCGGGTGGCAGGCTGTCACCACAGGTAAGCTCTCTCCAACCAGCCGTGGCCGCCTCCAATCACATGGAGGGGTTCTTCATTCTGCCTCGCCTGTGAGAATATTGGAGATGTAATTTTACCTCAGACCCCAAATGTTACACATTATAGGACGACAATTGACCGCCAATTTATCGCACTCCTGGGAATACAGAGAAAACGTGGATCTCATCATAATGATGGAGCTTGTTGCAGAGGCTGTTATTTGATAGTGTACTTAAGTGATAGCGAAGATTTTATTCCTCCCCACATAGCCCTTTAATGGGGCTCAGGATTCATGCATTATTGGTATAATGTGCATGTATGCCAGACTGTATACCTTTTTTATTGCTATTTTTGTGAATTAAGGACACTTTGTTCTAAGATAGGTTTACTGGCCTCATTGATTTACCACATCAGGATCACATATTTGAAACAGAACTACATGATGACCTTGCAGGTAGACAGAGGAAATTGACTTCTTGTCATTTCTTATAAAATCATTTATTTTTCCAGTTTTTTTAGCAAGACTGTGTTTTGCTATTATTCCAGCAACCTACGCACCTTTTACAATGGAGAAAAATCTAAAGAATGATCTCCAAATAAGAAAGTCAACAGTGATTGTATTTTTTTTGTGAATCTTTGCCATTGTTGTCTTGTTGTTTGTGTTTCTTAGTGTGTGTGTGTTATGTGTCCTTGTGAGGGATTACACCTGTCTCGTGTACCTGTAGTGAAGTCCTACCAGGTTTGTCAGCCTGGAGGACATTCTACTGCTGATGCTAAGCTGACACACACACACAGAAAAAACACACACACATTATTTTGAAACTGAAAGGGGGGCAATGTTTGTTTTATGCCAGTTCCTGAGGTGGTGGGGGGCCACCGGCTGACAGCTACAGTAATAGACCTGAGCCCTTGGGTGGAGTATGAGTATCGAGTCCTGGCGGGCAACACCATCGGGACCGGGGAGCCCAGCAAGCCCTCCCAACAAGCAAGGACGAAGGGGACCTGTATGTACTGCATGAGAATAAAATCAACTCTCCTTATGCCTCTTTAAACATGTATATCTCATGTTAGTCTCTCTTTTTATTTTGAAACCCATGGCGATTTAATTTTTTGTCTAATATTGACAATGTCAACATACATCCAGGATATGTTAGTTTAGCTTAGTTTAGCGTTAAGGCTAATAACAGCACCTCTAAAGCTCAACAGTTCATTTTATGTTTAAGTCATTACAAAAACTTTAAGGTAAAATTCACATCTAGAACTAAATCTAAAACGTATATATCTCGTGTTGGACTGTTTTTTTATATTTCAAACCGATGGCAATTTTTATTTCTTAGTAATATTGACAATGTTTTCTTGCCAAGAGTCTAATGAGAAGATCGACCTCATGTCTGTCCTGTAAAGTAGGAGGATACATCCAGGATATGCTAGCTTAGTTTACTTTACCTTAGCTTAGCGTGAAGGCTAAAAGCAGCACCTCTAAAGCTCAACAGTTCATTTTACGTTTCAGTCATTACAAAAACTTTAGGGTAAAATGTACAGAACTAAAACTTGTATTTTTTCAACTTCAGTTTGGAACATAAATTGGTTAGCTTTAGGGCTGGTAGGCGGATTAAGTGTATGTTCGACAATTTCTATGATCCGATATCTGCATTCAAATGAAGATATACAATCCGGTCGTGGTCATATTCTGTCAGCTCTAATTGTATTAGCGTGTGAACATTAACCAGCACACAGAAGAGCAAGTCTCGGCTAGTTATCCGGATATCCGTTGGCTACACCAGAACCTCAGACATATTTGATTTCAAGACTAATAGCAGATGAATCCAAAGATTGGCTCTGGACAGAGCTATTTCGCCCAGACTACAGTCTACTAGCTGTAGCTTTTTAATGTACTCATATAAAGTTGTATCAATCTTATCATCAAACTCTTGGCAAACAAAACCTTTAAATATTTTAGATATACTTTGCAACGCAGATTTGGTATTGAAACCTGAAATTCTATTGAAACAGAAAAAATTAAAATAAAAAGGCAATCAGTAATGTACCCAGATAAAGCTTCAGAGAGGTTACACCCTTTGTTTGTTTTTCTGTCTCGACCCTCAATAGTCTTTTGGTTAAAAAAACATCACAGTCGAGAAATGTCGGCAAAAGTTTGCTGATATCTTAAAGGATTTCTGAATGTAGAAGTTCAAATATCAACAAAAAAAAGTTACCTCTCTCTGCCATTTGGGAGTAGCAACAAGGAAAATGATTACTTGTGCATTCTCAGCGTTGTGTGAAGTCAACAAGGCTAAGCTGATCCGTCTTCTTTCTCCAGCTCCGAAGGTCACACCAGCTAATGTGAGTGGAGGCGGTGGCAGTCGCTCCGAATTAGTCATCACATGGGAGGTAAGCAGTCTTGCTCAGGACCCCTTCACCCATGGAGGAGAGAGCCAGACGCTATTATTCTTTTTGGATCTGGGCCTCTGTTTCATTAATAACAGCTGGATAGATTAATGTATGGCATTTCATTTTTAAGAACAGAGAGGCAATAACTGCTTCTGTCACCCTAGGGGAGAGAAAAATGCTTTTGAGGTTTCAATAAGATAATTAAACTCAATGGCTCCCAACTTTGCTTCAAATTGTTTTCCCTTCCTCTCTTTCTTTCTTTCTTTGTATTTTTCTTTCCTTCTTTCTTTCCCTACAAAGCTCCTGCATATCAATCCAGCTCCAAAGGCTTATATATTTAATTCAGGCTGCTAAAAATCATTAGTACCCGCTGTGAGACGTTGACAGAATCTGTGTTGATGTTTTATTATGCAAGTTATTTTAAAGCCTTATTTCTGCTTAACAAAGCAACAATTTTGTCCCGGCCCTGAAATTCTTAAAGCTTAAGTTTAGTTTAGTTTAGTTTAGTTTAGATGCACATGTTACAAGACATTAGAAAGTCAAAAAATGATAACACATTACAACAAAATACAAACAAAAAATATACTTTTGTCAGTTAATAAGAGAGAAACAATCTATATATACAAATGAGTAAATAAGAAAACTTCAAATAACAGCAGAGTGCTGCTAGCTGTTCGATCTGTAGCATAACTCTGCAATATATCAGGAATGGTTAAATAAATCTGTAGTACATTGTTAATTAACTTGCAAAAAAATTGAACTATGGTATATATTTATATTATAAATGTTTATCTTACTTACTGCATGCTAAATAATTAAAATGACAAATACCACTACATTAGATTGAATAACATGTTAAGAAAGATATTCATGTTCATTTGAAAGTGACAAATCAGTATCAGCAGCAGAAAGGCAAACATACACACAGATGCAGTGATTAAGTGATTAATATTAATGAGGAATAAAAAAGGGTCCAAGTATCGACCCCTGTGGGACACCACAAGTAAATCACAACACATAAATCCATCCTTTAACATTCATAAAGTGTCATGAATAATGTTTGAGGGTCACTTAGGAGAGTCCGTTTAGGCCAGGGGTTTTCAAAGTGTGGGAAGGTGAGCCTCCCCTCAGAGAACATAAGAACAGCCGCGCCCCCCCTCCCAATTATTATTGCTATTATTATTATTATTATTATTATTATTATTGTTGTTGTTGCTATAATGCAGGGGTATTATTATCCAGTGGAAGGCCCTTACCTACTGGCCTAGTTAAATCAAAGTGGTTACTTTTGTTTGGCTGGGCAGTGTAGTTTTACACACCGTCTTATTTGATTTTCTCAGGACTTAAAACTGTTTTTTGGGGGCAGACCCCCACAAAGAAAAAAATATATTTACACACGTAAGGTCATCATCTTAACAGTTTTGTATGCTCATCGAGTCATCCGTGAGCAGAGCATCAAGTTGGCATGCTTATAACAGCTGAATGCGGCGATTACCATCTTGTTCAGCAAAACGCCTCACAAACGTATTGAGATCTAAAGCTTTAGTGCGTTTTGATTCAATGCTGAGTACAGCCAAACTTGACAGTCTCTTCTCTGTCATTGTAGACCGCAAATACCTTATTCCTTCCTTCTACTTGGGTCCGAATCATAGACTGTATATAAAGGTCCGAATGCGCCGTCCCGTTCAAATAAAATCGCCGCCAATCACATTTCCTCGCTCGCGCCAGGGCCGGGGGAGGGGTTACAAGGCTTTTCTGCCAGACGCTGTCTCCTCTTTCACTTTAGGTAACTTCACTAAAAATCGATCCATGTTGACGCTTGCATAAAGTTAGCTGAAGTTAACTAGCTAGATTTCACTGTTTCTCGTTATTTTCTTCTCACGCTGCGCATCCCCTGAAGCTCTCTGGCGCCCCCCAGGGGAGGCGCGCCTCACACTTTGAAAACCGCTGGTTTTGGGTTGATTTAAAGGTTGATTTAAAGACTAGGCAGGGCTGAAACAAAATAAGTAATGAATTCCAGTATCCAGGAGAGTGAAGTCTGAATCTATAAATGTTTAAGGCATGTTATCAGTCTGGCCAACAGCTGAGTTTATGGTTTCATGCTGAGAGGCACCATGCTGTGTAATGGATATGTCCAGTAATAGTTCTTGTGTGTAGAGAATATTATATTTATACAATGTTTTACAAGCATTGCCTAAAAGATTGAAAGCCTTGTCTTTCCTCTTAGGGTTGTGTCCTTAATTACATGTTTAAACTTAGCCCATGAGTTATAATAAAGACAGTTCATAGACAGAATGAAATTGGCCCGATGAAAGTCATTAATTCAGATTTTTTTTAAGATTCAGAATTTCTTAGGAACTACCTTTTCTTGGCTTAATCTGTGTATTTATTTTGTCGCAGCCGGTTCCAGAGGAGCAGCAAAATGGACCGGGTTTTGGCTACGTTGTGGCTTTTCGACCCCACGGTGCCACCGGGTGGATGCAGGCTGCCGTAACTTCCGCCGAAGCATCCAAATACATCTTCAAAAACGACACCATCCAGCCCTTCTCGCCTTTCCACGTGAAGGTTGGGGTTTATAACAATGAGGGGGAAGGGCCTTTCGGACCTGTTACCACGATCAACTCTGCTGAAGAAGGTGTGTATGATATCATGTCATACACAACTTGTGAGGGAATAGCTCTTCTTGCTTAGCCCTTATTAATGTGTGAGTAATTTATGAGTCTGGAACAGTAGCAGCAGTTATCATGATCCAGCGTTCTTATATCAGCACTTGCAGACATCTTTCTGAAACATCTGAAAATGTTTTGATGTTCCTTCTTTGACGGGTCATCAAAGCTCAGTGTTATTTTGAAGTCTTTGTGCTTTTTACTCCAGAGCCTGGCCGAGCTCCCACCAGGGTCCGTGCCAAGAGCCTCTCAGCATCCGAGATTGAAGTTTCGTGGAAAGCTCTGCCCTGGAACACCAGCAAGAAAAGAGTCCTGGGCTATGAGGTGAGCTGTAAAGTAATACCTTGTTTGTGTGTGTGATCCCATCGGATGTAAATGTGTGCAAGCACATGGCAAATAATGCTGTTGAATCTTGTTCTCTTTTATTATTGATGAGTGTTTCAGGCTCATGCACTCTGGGCATAGCAGATAATAGCTTGCTGCATGCATAATGGTCCAGCCTAGTCTCATGCCTGTGGGTTTAGTTGTGTTCTTCTTGTTGTTTACCTAAGTACTGTAACCACCCTGATTAGCGTACTGATGCAATACTCTAAGGGATAGAACGTTTAGCTTTCTAATCCACACAACAAAGCAGTTTCAGACACTGGCTTTGCGCTCAGTTAGTTCTTGTCATTTTAATTCAGCTCATTATTGAAATCCAAGACATGAACAAAGCTTCTGTTTTCATCCAACGGATTGAATATAGTGCCAGAATTATGAATTGTTGACCACTCAAAGTCAACGGAGGAGCAAGGCCTGAGCAAACCGTTCCTGTGAGAAAAGACAAATTATATTTGTGCTGCCAAGCGTGCCAGCTATTTCAGCCCTGACAAGCGGGGTGACGAAGGAACTCTGTTATCAGTGGAAGTTGATGGCAGGGGGTTTTCGAGGTTTTTTTGCTTCTCATTCTTTGTTTTTGCCTCTCTTTTTTTTACCCCTCGTTTGGATATACGACCTCACTCTTTTACCACAAAGCATGACACATGTCTGATGAGCACAACTGAGGCTTGTAGCTCGCGGTGAGCAAAAGGCACACGATGTGACATGCTCCTAAAGCCTGTTTTCAGAAAGGTTTCCCATCTCCCGTCCAATTGACTTCACATATTCCTGTTTCCAGTTTCACTTCATTGACAGGGTGTAACAGAAAGCTTTTAAGGTGTCTGTTTTGTTTCTGCCTGTGTTCACGTCTGCCGTTCTGCCCTGTTGCTTCTCAGCTGAGGTACTGGACTAGAAGTGAAAGGGAAGACACGACTAGTGTGCTAAGGACTGTAGGAAACCAAACGTCTACCATTATCCGCGGGGTAAAAAGCAGCACCACGTATTACATCTCAGTGAGGGCGTATAACACTGCTGGAACAGGGCCTCCCAGCCCCACGGTCAACGCTACCACCAAAAAACCACGTAAGTATCAGATCTAATTATAACCTTCTGCCATTGTTCAGCTTTTCATCAAGGTAGATAATGTGTTTTTTCTGCTTTCAGCGCCTAGTCAGCCACCAGGTAAAGTGAGTTGGAACACATCAAACTCTAAGATTATATTGAACTGGGAGCGAGTCAAAGCCCTCGAGAATGAGTCAGAGGTCACTGGTTACAAAGTAAGCTCACAGTCTATTGGTTTTATCAGAAAATTGTGTTTGTTGCATCTGTGCCTGACTCTTGACCCCGCTCGTTGTCAGGTGCTGTACAAGAAGAACAGACACAGCCGCCCCCACGTCATGGAAACCAACACCACCTCTGTGGAGCTCGCCCTGCCCACCGATGAGGATTATATCATCCAGATAAAGCCCTTTGGAGAGGGAGGGGAAGGCAGCAGTAGCAGGCAGATCACCATCCCAAGGATACCAGGTCAGTGAAGCTAGTTAGTGCCTCCCTAGTGGCTGAGCATCATAATATACTCCCCTGCTGCTATCTGGCCAGAACACATTAGCTATCATCATCTCCGAAAAGAACAGAAAGTGTGGCGAAAGTAATGTGCTACATGTGAGACATGTGTGTAATTATGGCCTCTACGTGACACCATACAGCAAGCATTGCATGAAAGGTTGAGCAATTTATTTAGAATACTTTTAATGTTTCTTTCCGCTGCTTTTCGGCTCGTAATGACTAATGCAGGGTGGATAGGCTGCCGATTAAAGGAATGAAATGCCAAATAAATTGTGTCAGACTAACAGCCTCGTTCTTTTCAATACCTTTTCAGGCCCCAACGCTGTCGGCTCAGCATCCAAGGTCTCCACTCTATCAGCCCTGAGTACAATAGCACTGTCTTTCACAGCGCGGACATCTTTATGACAAACAGCTCCCAGCAGACGGTGCATCTGATGTGGAGACATCTCTTCGGCGGAACGCAAACACAGCCCACTCTGGTGTAACTAGATCCATTCATTTCGATTTTAGAGGCAAAAGGGAGAAATAAAAAAAATACGCCATTCAGATGACAGGGAAGGAGTCCCCTTCAGCACCTGAGTAACGGAGATTGAGCGATGTCGTGACTATGTTGTTACCAAAGCAGCTTTCATAAGAAAAAAACAAAAATAAAGAGAAAAATGTCTTATATGCATCTTTTTGTATGACATGTTGAGCTTTTATAGATTTGTGTTTGTCCTTAATCAATTTGAAGTCAGTCTGGGCTTACTGGGGCGAAAACAATAAAGTGCATGGCAAATAACATCATCAAATGTTCCAGTCTGGAGGCTAAGAATGTGATTTGACAGCGCACCTTCTTCTCAAATAAGACAATACTTGTAGATTGGAGACGTTTCTTTTCTTCAAGTGAATTAACTCTTAACTGTTGTCTGTTACATCTCTGTGTTTTCTGTTTCTGCAATATTTCAAAATTGTTCACTCCAAGGACTGTATTGACTTGGGTCATTCATGGTCATCTTACCAAACACTGTAGAGGAAGAGAGGACAAATCATCCGTCTCTACAGCACATGCTAATGCTTTACCATTGGGAAAGTGTTAGCGTTAGCAAACATGATGATGTTAGCCAGCTTAAGTTTTTTTTAAGATTCTTTATATATATATTTATATATATATATCATGAATCCCTAAAGAAAAACGTTATCCTACATTAGATCATTCTAACTGAACAATAGACAACTGGATCATTTCTGTCGTAATGCAATACTTACGTTTGTGTTGAGTTATTTGTGGTCATAATTATTCCTCTGTCCTTCCTGGCAAACTGAAGTATGCCTACACTGCAAAAGATGGGGCTAACATGAGGCATGTAGCATCAAACAGTTATCAAAAAGTTGTGTTCTTCAATCAAAATCCCCTTTTTGATTTTTTCCAAATGTCTTCTCGCTTAGGAGCATCACAGGGATAAATCTGTAGGGTTAGGGTTGAGAAAATGTGTTGTAGGGAAATACACTTGAAAAACGTACACTAATACATACATGCATGAAGGGTTAGGGTTTAAAAAACAATAATGTTATTTTCCTAAATAAATGTTAAATGCTCTTTTCCAGGTCAAAATGTTGAAATAACCCACCTACAGCTTAGTCTTTTACCCTTTTACACCTTCAAAGTTGCACATAAGACTTTACACATTGATATTTGGGTTGTTTCTTATGGCACACACATAGTTTGGTATCTATAGTAAAGATAGGTTACAAATGTTCTTTAAAAAAATGTAGGTGCATGGGATCCTAGTGCTCTCGGAAAAAATAAGACCCTTTGAAAACTTGGGAACCTGGGAGTATAGGACCATCAAAACATATAGGAATGAACCCAACATACCCACTTGATTTTTTGCTAGCCGAAGATTGCTTACGCCTCTTATTATTTCTATCTAAACTGTAAATTATATTATAAGCGCACTCAAAAGGGATTGCTTCATGGACAGATCGAATGACCACAATGACTCCATCAGCGTAATTATAAAAACAAAAACAACAACCTTGTTCTAAAAATGGATGGATGCTATCGCTTTTATCAAGTTTTGGTACCAGTCCTCTGGTTAAAGGTGACCAAGAATGTAAAGTCAATGGGTTCCTTAAAGCCATCCATGTGATTGAGTTATTGACCTTGTAACCAGAAATAGCGCCGTGCTGTTTTGGAGAGCGTCTCCACTGGGCTCCTTTACGTTGGCCGTTGTACTCCACTGGTGACCAGACCCTCGTGGCTGTCTCATGCTCCTCATTCTTGCGATTCGCCCTGTGTCTAGAGATATAATTTGCCTTCTGTGTGCCTCATCATATGTTCAAAATCCTCAGGTCCTTAAAGAGCCTTAACTTATCATATGTATATCAGAAACATTAGGAACATAGAAGCAGCCGCGGTGATGTTTACATGCTGCTGGGGTTGATAGATAATGTATGTGATTGGGATCGAGGGGGAGGGGCCAGCATCCTTTGTGCAATGCTGAGGATACCAAGGTTAGTTCGAATGGCATTCTGCTGTTTCGCATGGGATATTGGCAATATATGAGGCCTGGTGCATTTTTATAGGTGTGTGTCCTTGTTTAAAAGACAATGCTGCTGATCTTTTTCCTTTTTCCCGTAGTGTCCTGATGCCATGTGGGACTGCTGTGCTACAGAGGCGCAAAGCAGTCTGTATGTAGCTTGTAATCCAGTTAAGTAGTTTGTACTTTGAAGGGAAGTGTGCTGTAGGCTACTGGGTCTTGCTCATGCATCGAGAAACGTGTAATATACTGTTTTGTACACTTCAAATCATTTATATAAAAGAACCTTTCTAAAGAGATGATTTACTTGGTTTTTATGTAATAACTCTGTTTCATACTGTAGCTAACTGTCGCGCAGCATGACTGTACTTTGTCCCCTCTCTTCTGTCTACCTGCAAACCGACTGAATGGCTTTAGGAACGTGCAAAGGTTCACGCATCAGATAGGTTTGTGTATATTGTATGTGTACCATGAAATCTGACCCATGATCAGCCCTTATGTCTATGCTTCTGTCTCAGTCGGCCCCTCTGAGGTGTACTGGGTCTTCTGCCCATTTACTGTACGCTCTACATGAGGGCTTCCTCTGTTGCTGTTTGTTGTTTATACTGTGTTAATAAAGATTATTGATTTCTAGAACAATGTCAATGTCTGGTGGTCCGTCAGTCAATACATATGAGCTGTGTGAGAGAGTTGACATATAGGAGTATTGTTCTTCAGAATATTATTTGATTCATAAAATATGTTGATTACTGGTTAGGTAACACACTACAGGGGTAAAGGATAAAACTATATAAAGTATATCGTTATACTATGTATAAATAATATATCAGGGTATATGCAGGAATCCTGAAGTCAAATTGAATTCCTTTAAGACCTTTTTTAAGACCCTTTCCATACATTTTAAGACCTCATCGCCACTTTGAGTTTTAACCGGTTACATTGGCGACACACTTTACCTCACATTTACTATATACAGTATTGATTGTCCTTCCTCCTTATCTTCCAACCATTTGGACGCAAACTTGCATTTCCCCATAACGATGTAACCGGCGTAAACGGACCTTCGCGCGCTATCAAGCAGTGAGCGTGCGATGTCCTGTTCAGATGACGTCAAATCCAACGGGATGCCATAAATAAACTACACAGAATCACACTACACACCTACGCAATGATTACATTCAGGCAGACTTGAGAATACAACCTCTTTGGACAATTTATATACTTATTGAAAACAAGCTACAAAATGTAATACCTTGGAAAATGCCGTTTAATACTTTTTAATAGCCTTAATTTTCGCTAAATTGATTTATCAACTTTTAATACTTTTTAAGACCCCACGGACACCCTGTAGGCCTATATGTTTTAGCCTGAAGTGTCTCGCCTTGACGGGTGTGGATACAGCTCGCATTTATTAAAGACTAAAGATGACTCAGTTTGGCACATTTCAGAATTCAAGCCACAGAGTCCTAGATATCCCACCTTATGGTCCCTAATATGGGAAAAACGATATCCACAAACAATGCATTATTCACTTCTTATAATGCAACATCTCTTTACAACACACTTCATTGTAAAGGGCCACATCTTCCAAACTCTACATCCCACAGGCATTCTTTAAAAATTATGTAGGCCTACTCTCCACCCCAGATAACCTTGTATGTTTCATTATGACATCATCAGGGATGGCCCCAGAGCCACAGAACACGTTATACAACTGTTTCTAAAATAGTACAGAGGATAAGCTCTCATATTATAACAATTGTGCATTTTATGAGAAAAGCATGACATTTCTAACATAGTTAGTGCATACCATAAGGTTTATTTTCAGATGTGGAGGGAAGTCAGATTTGACCTGTGAGGACCGTGAGAGGTCAAATCCAAGATGGCCGCCAGTCTCTCGGGTCAAATGTTCAAACACGCTTAATTTTGGAACCAAACATTGTAGAAAAACATTTAAGGTGTCATATCCAACTAAATTAGGGATGCCCAATCATTTGGTGATACTTTTGAGATCGCCAGAATTCAAGAAAATGCATTTAGGTGAAGATAAAGGTAGAAATTGACCAAATTTAAGCTGTCAATCAGTTGAAATTTGCAAAGTGTGTGTGTGTGTGTGTGTGTGTGTGTGTGTGTGTGTGTGTGTGTGTGTGTGTGTGTGTGTGTGTGTGTGTGTGTCTGTGTGTGTGTGTGCATGCGTGTGTGTGTGTGCGCGCGCGTGCGTGCGTGTGTGTGTGTGTGTGTGTGTGTGTGTGTGTGTGTGTGTGTGTGTGTGGTGTGGTGTGTGTGTGGCAGATGGCGCAGTTATGTATTGTATTTAATTTTTGTTGAAGTATTTCAGTAAAAAGCAACCTTAGCAAAACAGGAAATTATGTCAAATTCATATTTTAAGAATTAGCAAGCACCTATCTATTTTCAAACGTTTTATTTAGCTAATGTTGCAATTGTTGCAAAATCGCTACTGTAATTTTTTAATGCGAAATATTGGAATATTTTGCATTTTTGTTGTTGTTTACTCTCTCATGATTTTAAGTTATTTCAGGTTGAAAATATCCCGTACAACCACAAATTAAAAAGGGCTTCGGTACAGGATTAGTGTAGCATCAGTGTGGACATTTATCATGTCTCTGCTGTTATGTATGGGTTGTAGATCTTAAGAGGATGACTACAAGGGATCCAAATTAAGTTTATTATCAGAGATATTTAAGTTAATTGATTTTCTACATAAAAGGAAGGCTCCTTGCACATTTGCTTGAGCTTGAATTTAGTTCACCTTATAGTATAGTCCCTGTTCATCCCTTTATAACCGTTTATTGCCACCACGACAAATAAATGGTGTGCATAATATATATTTTAAAAGTAATAATTCCAATATTATGTCCTGCTATACATAACCCTTTCTTTGCATGACCTCTAAGTGTCCATGTGAGCCACTAAAGAACAGAAAAAAAGCTGCGCTACCTTGGGCGCTTTATAGGTGGACAGGCAGGGAATCGAACCCCAACTCTCTGTAAGTGGAAAGGGACTGCGGTGAACCTTTTAGTTGAGTGCAGCCCTTTGTTAACAGCGAGGGTTAAGAGAGCTGTTTGTGCTCTACATGGAACTGTTTTCCATCTCCCTCTTTGCTTTACATTCTTTCAGCATGTTGTCCCTTTCTAAACCTTTCTGTTCCCCATTCTTCTTTCTCCAATAAGTGGTGCATCATTATTTTTCTATTAAATATGACATTGGAGAATAAATCGCTGTCGTTGCTTTGTTGATAGTTCCATCCATTTAGACATACTTCATCCTCCTGTCACGGAGTTCAAGCACTTAGACTTAGAGAGTTGGGCGGGGAACAAATATTATGCTCGTCACAATCATGTACGTATGTATTTGAAGACAAAAACAAATGTTTTCTTCAGCATGCAGACTGTGCCAAGTAAAGCCATATTCCTCCAGTCTCTGTATTAATGCTAGCGCTGGGTGACCATAAATCCACTGGAATATACTATACCACATCACACACACACACACACACACACACACACACACACACACACACACACACACACACACACACACACACACACACACACACACACACACACACACACACACACACACACACACACACACACACACACACACACACACACACACATTTTGCAAATTTCAACTGATTGACAGCTTATTTTTGATCAATTTCTACCTTTATCTTCACCTAAATTCATTTTCTTGAATTCCGGCGATCTCAAAAGTATCACCAAATGATTGGGCATCCCTAATTTAGTTGGATATGACACCTTAAATGGTTTTCTACAATGTTTGGTTCCAAAATTAAGCGTGTTTGAACATTTGACCCGAGAGACTGGCGGTCATCTTGGATTTGACCTCTCACGGTCCTCACAGGTCAAATCTGACTTCCCTCCACATCTGAAAATAAACCTTATGGTATGCACTAACTATGTTAGAAATGTCATGCTTTTCTCATAAAATGCACAATTGTTGTGCTTATCCGCTGTACTAAAAGGGTTAGTAACCTCATCATGACTAATCAAGTGACCTTGTTGTCTGTAAGATGCTACTTTAAGCAACAGAAGTCAATTCAGTCCATTTAATGACATATCAATGCTAAAATGTATGAACACATGGAGTCCATTTATATGTTGATAAACATAAAGCAGAACACTAGATGGCACTAACACCAAACAAATATATTGTTTTTAAATCTGCACCACAGATGTACTTGCTGATTCTGGCCACAAGATGGCAGTGCAAAATAATGTAATAATCCTTTTGATTTACTACATAATAATACTATACATTGATCCCATATTAAAAATATGACAACCCTTTATTGCATGTGATCAATTATTAACGTGTAGTAGTAACATTCATTATGGATAAAATCCCTCTCCCTTTTTTCCAGAGTCAGAGACATTGTTTGAATCATACTGAGACATTTATTTATGCATGTATGTTTTCCATTTAGACTGAATGCAAATACAGCAAGTACACACCACCAAGCACTAGGGGAATGTAGAGCAAAAGGCAGTGGAGAATTGAAGGTGGAGGCTAACTAGCGGTAGGAGTAGTTTGATGCTCTTCATGGAGAAAATAAATTACCTGAACTATGCTGGTTTTCTAATGGGGCCAATAAATGTTTTCATCTCGCTTAACAAGACACTTATTTCGTCTCTACGCTCAATGTCACATTCTTTTACAAGACAGTAAATCACTTTCGAGACACCTTGGACTGAGAGGGGAGGTCGTGTTGATTAACGGCGCTGAAAACTCCCCCCATAACCACGACTCCCAACATAAGGCACCCATTCATGTGTCACATCTACTGCAGTGGGATTACACTGACTGCCTCATATCTCCCCCTATAAAACACTTCCTTTCTCCTGCTTAGATTCTACATACTTTACAGATTATACACAGAAGTATGGATATTTATACATGAATACAGGCCCTCCATCCTTCAATTCACCACCTCACCAAACACACACAGCGCTTCTCATGATGCAGTCATTTCATCCATCAGTACAAAACTACACCCATCTGTTTATCAGCAAAGATACTCAACTCGCCCGGGGGCCACTTTTGTAAAATGACAGGACACAAGGGGCTAGATCATAAACAAAAAAATGTATTAAAAAAAAGCCCTGAAATAACACATTGTGTAATTACACCACATTACATAATGGGTAGACAAAATGCAACTTTCATTATGTTATAAACAGCTTGAATGCAATATGTAATACACTTACTTGCATTTGGACATATTGGATCTTATATTGCAGTTGTTTTTACAAAAGGTGGGATATGCACTTCCTTTTCATGATTATAGCACATGCATCATGTAATAACCAACCAAAATACATTTTGCCATCAAAGCATCAAGGTTTATTAATACATTCTAGCTGGGAATGGTTTTACATGTTGTGTTCAAGCTGTTTACAACCTAACATTAAATAATGAAAGGTAACATAATTACATTTTTCAAATCATTACACAATGTCGTTTTAATATAAATTGTGTTGGTATAGCCCCATCTTTCATTGAAATGCTTTATTTGAAAATTGACAATATTAATTTAGCAGGGTTGACACTAGGCCAAAATTACAAATAAATTCAATATTTTACAAGAATTTAACATATTTTTCTGGGCAAGGTAACTTTTTTTATCCTTTTTTGTATGAATAAAAAAAGTATTTTAATCAATTTAGATGCAAATGTGAGCACTATTGTTCCAAATGTATATTAAAAGCATCATAAAATGACAACTGTGAATCGCTTTCTCTATTTTCTGAATTCATAATTGGTCGATGGGGATCCTATGAGGGGCCAGATTTGGTTCGCTAAATTGAGTATCACAGGTTTACAGTAAAAAAGATGCCTTCACAACAGTCCAGTGTCATATGACTAGAAACAAAATAAACAGAGCAAAATAGAATACACAAATAACCAGTTTTGGGGAATCTCATTTCCTCAGACACATCATCAGCAGGGCGACAGTTTGAGGTCGGGGGATTTGGGAGGGTTAGACGACAGGGGGGACAAAGCCATGGTCACAAGTGTTGGAAAAGCTCCTTTTTAATATCACAAACTCTGCGTTATAGGTTTTGGTTACACATTCACAGTTTTCTCCCTTAAGAGGACAGAGGATGGAATAATGGTTGCTTATTGCAAAAACTCACAAGCGCTGGCTTTCGGTTAGCAGTAGCACAAAGTTAACAATGACGGCTAAAGCGGGTCAGGCTCCATCACAGGGGTTATTATGTATGATAAGTGATGCATAGTATATTATTAAAGGTCATCCAGGGTATGTGTTGTGTGACAGCCAACGGGGTTAGACGGCGCTTCGTTTAGGTCACACTATGAAGTCTTGGCTTTGTCTGTCGGGGGAACAGGGAGAACAAGTACAGGCCTCACATTCACCACTCCTATAAATACATTACAACTCATACACCATAACTTAAAGAGAGTTAATCCAACTGAACATAAAAAAAGTACCCTTGTTATTCTTGTGGTTTTGAACGTTTTAGGCAGTGTGGATTTGTAATGGATCCAACTGTGACATACATTTATTTTGGTGTTTAAAAGCTGCTATTATAAGCAACCAAATTCAATGCATTTCTCATTCACAACTTCACAATTTTTACTAGTTTTGGGTCTGTGATTAACTTTGTAGGTTCTCCAGTGAAACACAACTTTTAATTAAGCTCTTAAATAAAGAGGGCCTGGCCAAGGGGGAAATGAGGAGGAAGTTTTACAATTCCAGAATAAAGTCAACATTTTAATAATGTATTCAACGCCAGAATCTTTGATTTATTAGTTGTTTTGACTTTTCAAAGTTTGTGTTTGACTTTTCGAGTTTTTCTCGACATTTCAACAAATAAGTTGATTCTAAAAATGCTAATTGTCAATGAATAAAAAGTCCTACTTCTCTGTTTTGTTCTGGTTTCTGGCACCTAAATCCCCTCCGTATATCTCACACATCAACACTAAAACGTCCAAAAGCACAAGAATAACATTACAGTCTCTGTTTCAAGATGGAAGTCAGTAAAAGCAAATTAGGACGTAGATAAAACATTATTTATATTAAAATATCTTTAAAAATCCTCTAACTTTGCCCAAAACATGTGACCAGCATTTCTCAGTGTAGATGGCAAATAGACGTCAAAATGAAAGCGGGAACGTTGAATGTGACGAGGACAGTGATGTGTGTTTGTCCCAGCTGTCCACTGAAGTGTTACACAACTGTCCGTCTTCTCCATGTGTCCATTAAGGGATTTTTACAGTTCAGTCCCATTGTCTTTCTATGGATTCCAAATGTGGACATTGTGGTTTATTTTTTTCATTCCCTCTGCTATTTTTTTTATTGAATCATGCAGATTATAGTCATCTGATATTATACATATTTCATAAACAAGCAAACACTGGACATAAATTAGATCCTCTATAGATAAAAATGTAAAAAGCTAATAAGACAGCAGTTGATTATACTGAAGGTCACAGCCAGGAGGTGGCGACGTCGAGCAAAAAGGCCGCCTGACACCACCCTCCCCGCCTCACCCCACCACCAGCATTGTCTCCATCATTTCCCACAACCCTCCTCTGCTCTAATACAAGAAGCGACCAGGCGTGGAAGCAAATATCCTAGTGGCCAAACGGTGGTACTACATTTCCGTGTCAGTCCGTGATGTCATTTTGGCCCTCATTGACTTACATTGGGATTTTAGTAAGTAAGTAAATAAAAACAGGAAAAACACTGATTAGCCCTTATCGATAAATCAATATAAATAAGTAGGGCCTAGAAGTTGTAAAATGGGGAATGCGGAAGAACGCCGGAAGATCGCTGTAAGATCCATGGATGATCCGAGTATTTCTGTTCTCGAGTCAGTCTGTTTTGGCATCCAATTCTCTTATCCATGCTGTTATACCTTTCATATGTGACAGAAGCCATTTTTGAGTGAATTGGGTTGGAGGTTGAAAACTCATTGATTCAAATATCAAGATGACATCAAATGCAACTAAGGTTTTTGTCGACAACAGAGCTGAAGTAAAACAGGCGTGACTTGATGAACCAAGTGGTAAACCATCCAATAGCGGATTCTTCCTGTTCCCTAAAGTGGTGGAGGATCGTGTTGGGTCACAAGCGGTGTCACAGTTGGTCCGTCTAAAGGGTACAGGAGTGGAGGAGGAACTGTTCTGGTGTTGGTGTTTTTACACAGACGGGGTGGAGGGTCCTGGTATCTGCGGGGTGGGCCAGGGGACAAACAGGACCCTCTCCTGTCCCCCCGTCTCAGGAGCCTTCATGGCCGATCAGGACTGCAACAGAGACATCGACATCAAATCAGTCATCACACACAAACATGGAGGGAGATGAGAGGTTGAAAGGATCTTCAATGCACATTCTCAAAGATATTGAAGTGACTGTTATTTTGTATATATTGATTGTTGTGCTTTTATTTAGGTCTTAATGTGTGCATATGTATAAATGTGTATTTGATTGTGTATATAGGTTTATACATATTTGCATACATACATTATTTGTTTTTGTATTCGGGATTGTGGGAAACGGTATTTCGATCTCTCTGTCTGTACACACACACTGAAAGATTGACAATAAAGTTGACTTTGACTTTGACTGACTACTCCTACATAGATTAGACACTATATTAAAAGTGTGTGGTATTTTTAGTAACTTTTTTGTTGTGTCACTTCGAGCCATTTTGAATCATTGCAGCCATTTTGTGTCTTGTGGCAGTTGTTTTGTGTCTCTATAAAGGTCATGTTGCATCTATTTAAGTATCGTTGTGCCTCCTTGAACATGGTTTGCATCTCTTTGTATTCCTTCTGCCTCTCTTTGTAGTCGTTTTGTGTCTCTATAAGGTCTTTTTGCATGTCTGTGTCATTGTGTGGTGCCAAGCATGACCCAGTGTGAATGGCCCAGAATCTCACTTATTTATTGTGTTGTATTTCAAGCCCCCTACCCTCTCTTTCCGGTACCACTTTAAGTCATTTTGTATTGGTGCAGTTGTTTTGAGACCCTTTGTATTCTCTTCCTTTCCTTGTACAAGTTATGATTCTCCTTCTTATCGTTTTGTGGTCATTTTATTTCTCCTTGTAGTTGTTTTGTGGGTATTTGTAGTCTCTTTGTACCCTTTGTACTTCTTTGGTGTCTCTGTGTTCATTTTGTGTCCTCTTTTTAATGTATTTGTATCGGCTTGTACGTGTTTTGTGTCTTTGTGGTCATTCACATGTCTTTGTTTGTGTCTCTTTGTCACTGTTTTATTCCTATTTGTACATCTTTTGAATATCTGTAAGAATATGGTGTCTCCTCATAGGCTTTTATGTCTCTTTGTAATTATCTTGCTTCTCTTTGTAGTTGTTTTGCTGCCTAAGGTAATCACTTCATTCACATTCTTACATGAAATGTTAGCACCCACATAAAGCAGAGGTTCTGGGCGAGGGTCCCTCTGTCCCCTCTGGTCCGAGGGCCTATGTCCAGTAAACCCATTCAGCAATCTAACCAGGCAAACAAAGCGTAGTAATCTAGTAACCTGCACTCTGATCACATGACCAGACTGTGAACACTGTAGGGGTCACACACCTCTGAGTGCTGCTGCATCTCCTCAGTAGGAGACTCTGTTTCCCTGATAACCACAGCTTTTGTCACCAGCATGTCAGGGTGCTGCTGCTTGGCCTCCTGGATGGCCATGGCGAGGGCCTGGGGACACGAAGCATCCACACAGGGGTCAGAAACCTCACATTATAGCTTCATTTGCCTTATGACTTTAGGCACAGTGCAATTGTGCATTATCTCTGTTACACTCCTCCTCACCTGATGCTGGTCCACATCGTCGTCTCCTGTGATTATTATCCTCTTCTCGATTCTTGTCTCTGAGTAACCTCCTTTCACAGTCTGCCAAAAGTATTCAGATAGAAAGAATTAAAAAATGGATGACATGGTTAATCAAGGTTATCATTCAATAACATATAATATATCATTTTGTATCTTTGTCTCAGTAAAGACCGTTTTTTTTCATACAATGTCATTACATTAAATTGTGTAACAACATATAGATTGTTTTCTTATGCATAATTTTTAATAAAAACATATATCATTATTTACATATTTTAGTGTTATTTGGTCATCTATTCCCACAACAAGTGATCAATAGTGTGAAATAAACAAAAACGAATTCATTAAAATGGCCCTTAAAGGCTGACATTGTAATGAAGGGATCATTTGATTGTGATTGGTTGTTGGCTAACTCCAAGCTCCAGACATTAAACTGTAACCATGGGAACAGATAAGGTGTTACCTTGGTAACTTGAGTTGTGGTTGCTGTGGTGACGCTCTCAGCTGTGATGGTCAGCGGGGAAACAACAGAGTCCCTCTCCTGGGTCGCAACTTTTACCTGTGGAGTATTTTAGAGGGGCAACACACACGTTGAGGAACACACTGCAGACACACACACATAATGATGACTTTAAAGGGGCCCTAGTATGCTCATGATCAGGTGTATATCAGTATTTAGTGTCTCTACTGTGACATGTCTCCATGCTTTAATGTTCACAAAGCTCTTTATTTTTCTCATACTGCCTGTTCTGCAGCACCTCTTTTCCCCCTCTGTCTGAAACCAGAGCCCAGTCTGCTCTGATTGGTTAGCTGGCCGGCTCTGTTGTGATTGGTCAACCGCTTAGAGATGTCCCGCCCCTTAGCCTATCACATACAATGTGGTTGAGCGAGAATGATGTCACTATGTTCTGATAGTAAACAAAGGATTCCAATGGAAGCGTTTCAGGAGGGGATTTGAGCTTTTGCAGACAATACCGATATAACAAACCACAGGAAGAGAACACCTCAAAAGCATAATAGGGCCTCTTTAAATGTCTTGTTTCATCAGACCTAAACCGAAAGATATTCAGTTTAATATGATAAAAAAACGGGAAAAGTTGGAAATATCCATGTGAGAGGTTGAAAAAAGCATTTTCTAAATGCTTCACATGAAAAGTAACCTTAACTATTAAACATTTATCAAAATAATTCAAATAATGGTAGCTGTACCTTCAAGGCACCACACACAGGTTTGCTGCACATACTTTTCTGTTAAATTTCAGCTATTGCCCCGTAATAAAAGCGAACAAATATCAAATATAATCAGAGGATTCATTGTTATTGCCAATACTAGTAGTAGCACAAATGCATCTCAAATATTGACATCCACATCTTCTGTCTCATAAAACTGAGACATTTTGATGACATCAAATATAAGTATTATAGCAACGTCCTGTGAACAATTGGCTGACACACACACACATAACATTTTTACAATTGTTCAGAAGGATATGAAGTAAAGGTCAAGGTAACAAAGGGAGACAGCGGCAACACAATGGCACAACGTTTATTTATCTGCTGTGCTCACACACACACACACACACCACACACACCACACACACACACACACACACACACACACACACACACCACACACACACAACACACACACACACACACACACACACACACACACACACACACACACACACACACACACACCCACACACACACACACACACACACACACACACACACACACACACACACACACACACACACACACACACACACACACACACACACACACACACACACACACACACACACACACACACACACACACACACACACACACACACACACACACACACACACACACACACACACACACAAACTGATGTATTTCTTCTGTGAGATACTTACAGGCGAGCCATTTTCTTTCAGGGCAGCAGGAGCCTGCCTCGGGCTGACGCCTCCGTGGTTCTGAAGGAGAGAGAAACAGACGTGTGTGGGCAGAGTCTTTATTAAATTCTTAAGATGACGAAAGTCAAGCGACATTAAAGAAATACAATAGGGGATCAAAGAAGCATTAATTCAATCAGAATATTAAAGACATCAGTGATAAGGCAGACACAATGACTTCACGCTGAAAATATGAACACTTTATTTTTGCTCCCATTTTTAGTTGAGTTTCTATGCACACACAAGACATGATACTCTCTACTTTAGAGTGTTTCATTTGCCACGATGATCCATCTACTGACAAGAGCAGCTTATCAAGATGCTGATTAAAAGGGTAATAATTACACAGGTGTGCCTTGGGCTGCTCACAATAAAGGCTAATCTAAAATGTGCAGTTTAATCTCAGAAGACATTGATTGGGATTTCATATGACTCAGGCTACAGAAATGAATTTCTTAGCCTGAAGACAACACAAAAAGTCAGTCATCTGGTGTGACCACATGCAGTGCTACAAAATGGAGTTCATCAGGTTGTTTATTATGGCCTGTGGAGTGGTGAATGGCTGTGCAAAGTAACTGGGTATTGGCAGGAATTGGAATTAGTGTTGGGCACACTAATCCTGAGCATCCCAAACAGGCTAAATGGAGGAAAGGTCTGGTAAGTATTCAAGATGTGCGAGAACTGAGATGTGTTCAGCCTCCAGGTGAGGTGAGGTAGGCTCATTAATGGCACCGCGATTGGTTTTGGGAACTTGTTACAGTGTCTTGCCATCAATACATTACAGGTCATATAGCTGCCGCTTTTATCGAGAGCGATTTACAAACACTTCAATAATAGATGTGTCAACAACAGCAATTTGGGGTTAAGTATCTTGCCCAAGGACACTTCAAAATAACTCTGAATTAGTCTTTTAACACATTTTACAACTTTTAAACCCTAATGATTTAAATAAGGGCTATAAAAGTGTTTGTACTGCTTAGTTGATTCGGTAAAAAAAAGTATCCGCTCATTGCTCTCTTTCCCAATGTCAGTCAATGGTAAAAAGTATTTATGGACCCATTGAAGTCATGGACTGAGACACAAGTTGTAGTACCACCGTTTGGCCACTGTAACGTTTTGCATAAAAGTCTGTCGCACTTCCTGGGGGCTTGATTCAACTTTAGAAAGACACATTACATTTATCAAGTAAGATTACATTGCATTGTGGGAGAAAAGTAAGCATCAACAGAAGCATCAACAAAACTGACTGTATTCAGTATGGCACTATCTGATTTGATTTTACTCTAATCTCAATTATATCATGTTTACACACAAGCATATTATGTATTAAGTATTAAATCACTTTAATAATGACTGCACAACAGTTATTTTTTCACAGCAGACATTGTCTCTTTTCTTTCAAGTGCCTCTGTGAAAGTAACAGAGAGCAAGCATACCTGAAATCAAAGCAGCCAAATAGAATTCAGCCATCAATAATTTCAATATCTATTCTACATCTTTGGTTTTCCTACTGTGACCTGTGTGAGAAAAGGTCTACTGTGGATGCTGGCTCACTGTCATGGCTCACTGAGACACTAAACCAAGCGCACCTTAATGACATTTGTTTCACCTGGGCTTTCACTGCCATGACGAGCCAAAATGTCCGCCATGACAAAGTGTTATTGATGATGCTGGCTCACTGACAGGGTTCAGAGGAGCCGTCATTAATGTCATTAGGACTACCTGTGGTGAAAAGCCACAATGCCTGTCTATGGAAGCACAAGCAGGAAACAACATGTCTGTGGGTGAGCTTCAGTGTGCGGTGGGAGAGATATTGACATATTTTACTAAATAAAAGTTTAACCATAGTATACAAATACTTCATTGCAAGTTAAAGTCCGACGTTCAAACTCTTACTCGTAAAAGTACAGAATAATTAGAATCAAAATATACACTTACTTATGTAAATTAGAATATTATATATATATTTTATTGGAATAATATTTATTTATTTATCAAAGCAGCATTTGAATGATGTCTCAGTAAGGGCTAATTTGAACTAACCTAATAAACTTTAATGAAAAATAATGCATATTTTTTAACTGATAATTACATAAATATTGACCTAAATTGAAATGATAGTTGTCAGATAAATAGACAGTAGAATAAAAAGTGCAATATTTCCCTCTGAGATATAGTGGAAAGGAAGTAAAAAGTTATATCAAATTGAAATACTCAAGTAAAGTATGACTAAAGTTGCACGTACTTGAGTCAATGTACTTCCAGCACTGGGTTTAGTTTGTTTCCAGTTGCTCAAAACACTGGAAAGGGTTATCTGTGACATGCTAAAATGTGTAGTTATTAACTCAGTAAACAACTAAACTGCACTGTCAATAACACGGCAAAGAGCAGTTAAGGGGGACGGTATCTATAACTGCCAACTCACAAACTAAAATCAGATAAACTAAACATTTGTTTTGCGCTGCCTAGGTTATTAACAAGCCATTCACAATCTGAAACGATTTTATAAAAAATTAAAGTCTCATTTTAGAGCAACTGAATAGACCTCTGTAAATGCTTCTAATTAATTGTATTTAGCCTATTGAATCCACATCTACTACCTTGTCTAATTGTATTGTTTTAAAGCAAACTACTCCAAGTAATAAAGTCAAAACACCCCCAAGATACTCGTATGGTATAATCTCTTGAGCATTATGTAAGAGACAAGGCTTTGTATTGCCAACACATTTCATAGCCATGAGTGTCAATCAAACCAATATCAGCATGTGCAAACTCCTTGAGTGTTTATCGAGGTAATCCTCAAGATGAAAACATTGCTTTTACTGCAGTCTGGTGGCAACGCTGCCCAAATTCAGAGGCTGTCAGTGTCATGCAGCCAGTTGGCATCATCCAGCCTTTGTGCTGCTGTTGAGCCTCAGAAGACATGACACAGCGCCCTCTGCTGGCTCAACATAGTCACTGCTGTAGATCTTTGTCTGCCTATCCATGATGTCATCCTCCATTTGCTGCAGGTGCACACACACTTTTTATTCCACCCCTCCAAAGACGTCTCACTCTGGCATCTTTGAAATTGGACTTAACACTGATCTGACACTTCAAAGGCCCCCCATCGATGCCTTAGTTCCCGCACACCATTAGCCGCATTGCTAAAGAGCCGCGCAATGATTGCATTTTAATAAGGCACCTGTGGGAAAGTCGGCCGGCACTCAAAGCTTTGCCTGCAGAGATGAATGGGATTCACACCTGCTTTCATCATCCTCATTAATACACTGTCAATACTTGAATCACTCCATGATGATGCTATTATGTCCTCCCTGTCTGGGGAATTTGGGCTTCATTCGACCAGAGCCCAGGGAACATGCGTCTTCCTCTAATCAAAACTGACTACAAAGCTCTGAAAAACATTTTACAAGTCTGGTGTTTGTGTCCTGTGATGAGTATTGTCCTTCCTTTCTGCTAATACTTTAGCTTCAGCATTGATATTTAAAATATGATGAAAGGGGTGCCACACAATTGTTCTAAACACTCAATAGTCTGGAAAACGTCCCATTTGATCGACATTTTCCATAAGCCTGTTACCCAGACTCAAAAAGCCATTGTTCCGAAGGCTCACAGCTCCTAAATTACACACTGTATTAGTATCAACTCAAGCTTTGACCTAACTAACAAAACCACAGAAGGCAGCGAGTGCTAGCCAATCAGAGGCAGAGAAGCAGCCTTTGCCATTGTGGTACAAAAGTGTGTATTTTCTGAGAGGTTGGCCGACAGAGCAATGGTTGTTCGTTTTCGTGGGAAAGGATTGTCAAACAAATGGGCTTGTGTTATGTTGATCAAGTAGATCCATACCAGTGTCAGTTGGATAAATGAAAAAACTACAGCCAGCAGCTGTCAAGCAAAAAAAGGGTTAAACGACACTTTATCGGCCAAACGAAATTGTCCAACACATACTTTCCTCTGAACGGAGAAACCTACAAGATATAACTAATGTAGTAAGTTTAAGAGATGCACAAAGGGGGATTTTGAAAGGGGTTTCTTGCTTTAGAAATCCCTTTCAAAATGGAAATGACGAATATGAGCGTGATTGCCCATCTCATCTGACGGGTATAGGGTCATTAATCATGATTAATCACAGAATATTAATGTAATTACCGCAAGTATTTAGATTTTTAGATTTTCTAACAGGATTATGCACGATATAATGTCACAACTCACTAAAGGATGGAACAGTGGAGCTATTATTGAGTACATGCACTGTGCAGATTCATGAATTATGCAGCTCTTTTTATGACAATAACATAGGCTTTGCTAATATTCTGATTGTTTCTTTACCTGCGGTGAGGCATTCATGATGTTGGAGTGGGCCTCTGATCCATTTGTGTGCGTCTCCTTCTTGCTATCAGCCCTCTTCATGATGTGGGCCGCACTCACAGCACTGGCTTCTTTCTTTGCCACGGGAGGCTGTGTGAAACAACAACAGTAGAGTTAAGTCATCATTTGTTCACAAGAAAATGACGCAATTCTTGCAGACAGCATATTTTTCAAAACAAAGCATTTCAACAATGTTTAAAGGAACAAACACTTAAAATATTTTGCTTTTATTGGATTGTTTGGTTTAATGGAATCATGCAAATGATGGTGAAACAGCAGGGGAAATCCAGTAGAAAGACAAAAATAAAATGTGTGAAGAATTCATAAATCAAAATACAACAAGGAGAACAAAAAAAGTAGAGCGAGGAACCAAAATAAACAGATATGATCAAATTCAAACAATGCAAAATGGTACAACAACAACAAATAACTTAAAAAGCTGCCAGTATTTATGGCACCAAGTCCAGCAAGGCAGGGTGAATCCAGCGGGGGATGATGATGATGATGATGGACGACGAATACAGTGGAGGAAATAAGTATTTGATCCCCTGCAGATTTTGTAAGTTTATCCACTTACAAAGACATTTCTATTTTTAAGGATTTTCTTTTTGATATTCTTACTCTCATTGTTTATATAAACCTACCATTACAATTATAGACTGTACATTTCTTTGTAAGTGGGCAAACTTACAAAATCTGCAGGGGATCAAATACATATTTCCTCCACAGTATGTTCATCAGTCTACCTCGTGATGTGTTCCCTCCTCTATGGGAGACTTGTCCCGGGAGCCCATCAGACGGGCAGAGTAGAACCTGGAGGTCTCTTCAAAATCTTCCCGGCACACCTCAGGCTGCCTGTCCCGCTCTCCGTGCTCCGACGTGCCCTTAGAGAAGTCTTCGGATCCGGAGTGGAGGTCCATCAGGACGGTGAAGTCCACCTCCGCCTCCAGGCTCGACGTGGAGCTCACCGTCATGCTGGAACATTTACGCTCGATGCCCAGGTGGGATTCTCTCATGCAGGCCACCGTGTCCCGGTCCTGCTCCTCCTCTGACGCTAATCTGGGCAGAGGCCTCCTGTCCCCGAGCTCCTTCTGGGACGGGTACAGAGAGAGGATCACCACTCTGAGGTTATATCACTGCAGGCGGAGGGATGGCGAAGATGTCATGGAGTGGAAGTGGCATCCTTGTGTTTGAGGGTTTGCTTGGACTCAAAATCTGAGTCAGTGTACATGCAATGTGTATTAATATTTACAGTATTGTAGGGCATGCAGTCATGTCAGAAAGGAAAAGTTAACTGTTTGAGCCTGAAAAGGGTTTGTATTGAAGGACATTTCAAATTGCATAAAATGAATGAACATAATAGAACATATATATACCAAATGAAATTTGCCTCTTAGCCTGAAAACTTTAAAAACGTAATTCTTAACTTCATAGTTTTGTGGATTTTTCGGTCAGTTGTCACCAAGCATTCAAATAAAACAAAGGAAAGACAAAATAAAGTACTGGCATTCAACACGTGGCACGGGATCAGAAATGAAACCGCTCTGTTTTAAGGGGTCAGGATCCAAAGAGGAGGGAAACCGTTTGATTATAATGAAACTCCTGAGGCCCCTCATGTAAGTAATGCCACTCATTAATTACACACACACAAGCTAATTAAATCACAGTTAAAACTGGATCATGTCTGCAATAGACAAGCATAAGGGATTTTGTTTTCCACCCACACATTAAATTCCAACTCAAGATGATGGATGACTGCAGCTGAGTAGCCAGTGACCATAACAAACGTCAATCTTTATGGCTTAGGGGCTATGTTTTATATATCAGTAGAAACTGGTCGGTCAGTAGGGAGGGAAGCAGTTTAGCCGTAAGGGATGCAGAAAGGAAAAGAGAAGATGGGTGAGGCATGATGAAGGTGAATGAATAACCTTGAAATCAGCAAACGGCTCTTCATAAATGGCAGGAGTAGAGACGGGCTCCTGCAGGGAGAAGCAGAGGAAAGAGCAGAGAGAGCATCTGAAGGTTAGCACAAGCTGAAGTGGTCAGTGAACTGAGAGAGGCCACAACACACACACAAATCTGAATAGCAGAGCTTGACTGGATCCTGAAAATATGGTAAGATTGTTCAGTCCCAACCTGAACTGGGGGTACTGGTCAGTTAGACTGCACATTTTAAGGTTTAGAAAACATGTTTCCTCTTATCTGTGGTGCTGGTGTGAGCTGCTGCATGTTGACATATTGGCTGTAAATATGTCTGCCTTCTCTTGAGTATGGGAACTATATGGCACTCAGCTTGTGATGCTTTTAGCACAAAGAAAATACATAGAAAAACTAAATAGCAATGTCTGTTTTCCCAAACTTATGACTTGGTTACTAAAGAAAATCCACAAACAGTTTTTGAGCAGTTTCATGTAGGAACTATTTTTGTTTACCGCTAACTGAAAAGAGCAGACATTGGCTAGTAGACATTGGCTAGCAGACAATAGCTAGCAGACATTGGCTAGTAGACATTGGCTAGCAGACAATAGCTAGCAGACAATAGCTAGCATACAATAGCTAGCTGACAATAACTAGCAGACAATAGCTAGCAGACAATAGCTAGCCAACACTAGTTAGCAGACGATAGCTAGCCAACAATAGCTAGCCAACACTAGTTAGCAGACGATAGCTAGCAGACAATAGCTAGCCAACACTAGTTAGCAGACGATAGCTAGCAGACAATAGCTAGCCAACACTAGTTAGCAGACGATAGCTAGCCAACAATAGCTAGCAGACAATAGCTAGCAGACTATAGCTAGATGAGAGGGTCCTTCTGCAAGAAAGATGTATCCTTCTTTAAACTGCTCACAACTAGGTCTAGGGATATCTTTAGTATTGACTTCTGAAAAAAGACATTGCTGTAAAGTTTTTCAAATGTAATTTTGCTGCTTTGTTCACAACAAGCCAAGTGTCATCTAGTTTCATTATATTTGAGAGAAGACACACATTTCTATAGCAGATATCTTCAACACTCAGCAACTCACACCCAAACAGTTCAGATTAATACATAGCATTTAAAGTGAGGGCAAACGTATGTAGGCTATTGTTTAACTTTAATATAGCTCCAAATTCAAAAACAGCTAATTATGTATTTTAAACTGACTCAAACCCAAGTTTAGGTGAGAAATTCAGCCAGACCCAATCATAGCCAACTGAGTCTGTTCAGATCCAGTCAGGTCCGAATGGATGTCAGCACAAATGTCAGGCAATACTCTACATAACAAACAGCAAGAGGACATAAAAGAGGTGAGCTTACTACTACAACAACAACATCCACAGCCAAGTTTATTAGTTAGATTTAGCAGAGAAGAGAAACATGCAGTCTGTATAATGAGCAAGTTTCCAGCATAGCAGCAGCCAAGTGTTGCAACACTACGCACCTTGAACTTAAAAAAGGGAGCATTCAAATATTGTCAAATAAAATTGTTAAAAGTCCAATAAAAAGGTGACGGGGTGCATTTCAAAGCCTGTCAAAATGACTGTTTGAATGGGTCCACAAGTTTGGAGGAGCATATCATATTTTCCCACACTCCCGACTTCAATCTGATCTTGATATGATTGTCAGTCGCCAGTGAGGTTGCAAACCGAGAGCTACGCAACAACTCTTCTCATGCCCGTTTAATCCAATATATGCAAGAGCTTGACTCAGATGAAAAGGCGGGAAATGATGAAACTGTCATGTCTATTCACTTCAAATTCCTTTCATTCTGGTGTCAAAAGCGTGCAAGCTCCTAATGATACCAACAGTGAAATGAAAGCAGCAAATCTGACTGTGTCAGGCACTGAGCTGTGAGGTCTGGCTGCTCACTGCCTGCTGGGGAGGAACCAGTGTGTTTACATCAGCGCTTACTTTCATATCCAGAGGGGAGTTTTGCATCTGTTTTATACCAATCAGGAGGGAGAGATATTTTTTAAAGCCTGGTCATGCAAGTTTATCAGTTTCTAAATTATTTATGCATAAACCAATTATATACTCTATTTATATCCAATTTTGTGAAATAATAGCTGTCTGTCTCAAAGAAATGGCAGCACTTTCACCCCTTTCTTTCTCAAATTAGTATGCCATAAATCGTTTGTTTTTGTATTTCCAGTTTGAAAATGGCACAGAGATGTGCAAAAATCATCAGAGCGATGATAATATGTACGCCTTTCTTTCTTTGCCACCCTCTGACAAACAACAACGTGAGCCGGAAAGAAATCTGAGGCTCACAAGTTAGAGAAGGTGAAGACGAACCAACAACCAAAACATGAGATATTGATTTTTTTATCTTTTTGTTTTGTTAAATTTCACAGCCAGTGGTGAGCTGTACAGATTTGCCAGACAGTGTGGTGCATGTTGGGGGGCAATGAGAAGGGAGAAATTGGGAAAACTTTTTTGACAGATTTTGCAATAAGACAGAGCAGAAGTGCCGCTCCGTAAGAAGTAAGATGGATGAGTTCAAGTCACTGAAAACGCAGAAAAAAAATAAAAATGGCGTGCGAGTCTGTCTGAAGCTCATGCGATGCTTTAATTTCCAATGACTGAATAGCAGATGCCAAGCAGAGTTACCGAGTGTCTCTTCTTGGCTGCATCCAGACTCGGCTCCCTGCCAGGGTTTCGGCTGTTCCGCAGTATGAGTCCAGATTCTCGGGCCTTCTGTGTTTTTACTGGCGGGGCCGGGGGAGCCATTTTGTGAAGCGCTGAAATCTTTGAGCAGAACGACTGACTCTCCGTCGGTCCTCTACCAAACTGATAGCTGTCATCAGGATATTCTGCTCTAGTGATTCCCTCCAGATCTGCTGCAAAAGATGGATGAAAGGCGGCGGAGTCTGTCCAGGAGAGGTCAGAGGACGCCTCCGGAGAACCCACCGACCAGCGGTATTCCCTTCTGACGAGTCCCGTGGGCTCTTCCCAGCCCCTTTCGTCCTTACACGCTACACTCTTTGATCGCTCCGGCTTAAGAGGAACAATCCTGGTGATTTCTGACTGAAAGCTGCTGCCTGACAGTCGTTGGAGAGACGTTCTCTGGCTTCTATCTCCCAATAAACCCTCAATATCCTCTCCCCCAGAACTACTGATCTTCCTCTCATGCGTCCTGACCTGTCGCAGCTTTACCTCAGCTAGATCTTTGTTGTCAATAAGACCCCGTCCTCGCGACTTCATCCCACACTCCCCTTTAACACCTGCTACTGAACTATCATGCTCCATCTTTCCGGGTCCATTCACCATATCGATATCAGCTGGCCCAACCTGACTCACTTTCCTCTTTACCTGCTCTGCTTCTACTTCCATGTTTTCACTCTCTACTGATATATCTTCTTGGTCGTCTTTGTAGACCCTGAAAGACTCATCTTTTTCTGATCCCTGATCATCTTTCACCATCTCCACTGGCGATAGGTCGCAATGATTTCCGGCTTTTGGGTTTTTTTTCTGGACTGAGGTCCAAGTCTGAGCCGTTATTGTCTTCGTCAGTAGAGTCACTGCTTTCTTTCCCGTAAATGAGCTCGGGAGGCATACCCAGGTTTAAGCTCTGGGGTCTCCTCTTTTTCCTTGGTTTCGAAGCTGTACGGTCTTTCATCTGCCGTGAGCCCGGGGCCAAATCATTGTTTGCATCGGGGTCAGAGTCTTGAGATAGTTTACTTTGAGATTTGTCCAGATTCAAGTCTGCATTCTCAGATAATTGAACCATAAAACGACTTTTGTTAGTCGGCCGTGGCTCAGAGCACTCCTCTGCCTCTTTGGTTGATGAAAATTCATCAATATGGCTTTTCATTTCTTTGCTGTCATACCCTGTTACCTCCGTATGTATCATCTTGGTTATGTCTATCTCTTTTTCCAGCTCCTCTTTCTCCCATGAAGAATCCAATTTGTTCATTTCTTCTGCCTTCCAGTCTTGGTCCTGTAGATAAGTTTCTTGTTTTTCAATCAATACCCACTCCTCAGAGCCCTACATGTTGGTATAGATTAAACACAGTTAGACATGCCAAGCACAGCTGCTGCAAATAATTAAACCTACGCAATCATTTGAATCACAGAAAAGGGAACACAATGTTCAACTGGTACAATGGGAAGGTTCGATGATCATGAAATTGCATGTAGGGATTTATTCTTAAGGGAAGATACCCCAAGTGAATAGGGTTTAACTAATAGATATAACACGTATACTTCCCCGGTTAATCGCCTTCAATAAGGAATTATTTGTTGAGTGGTTTCTAAAATTGTGTTTTAAATATGCAATTTAGGCATTACATATGAGCTAATGTGAATCTGAACATTTGATTAAGCCAGGTTCAAAATTCTTGTTTCATTCTTGTTTCATTTTGTTGACATGTAGAGTCAGAGGTTTTTACAGCTGGGATGTTGAGTATCTTTTTGTATCACTCCATAAATCTATAACATGTTGTCATGGAAAATTCCTCTGCACAATGTTTTTCGGAAAAACCTTTTATAAAAATCTGAATATGAATGATTGATGGACACAAAAACCCTGCGTGAATAGGGATGCAATTGGATAGTTTGATGTGCAACTGAGATGGATATTTCTTGCTAAAAGTCTATACATTTAGCAGAAACTACAAGTGAATTGTTCCAAACAATGTTTTGTATTCAAGATTTTACGTATCCAACTTTTGGTAGGTTGAGGAGAAATGTACAGAAGCAAATATACAAAGTTAAAGACCTAAATTAGTATGTTGCATGTTTTCTTTCCTTTCTGAAAGAAGACATGTTACTGAAGTAAAGTCAAATCTAAAATGTCTAAAATCACCAGATCATTAAACACAATGTCTTTTCCGGCAGTGTCACTTTAAAATATGATAGACATATGAATGATAATGATGCACACAAGGCAGTGCATTTCACCAATCCACAAATGCCATAAACAACATGAAAGAGAAAGAGTGAGAGATATGTAACCTCAGGTGAAGTCACCACCGTCTTCTGGACGAAACCCTCAACAGACAGGCTGTTAACAGGGTCCTTCCCCACTGCTCGGACCGCCGACTGGCCGACACGAGGCAGAGGAGAGAGTTTCAAAGGAAAGGGAGAAAAGCTGTTAGAGCTTAAACTTGAAATGAGGAAGTCAATTAGTAAGACTCACAGTAGACAATTTCATGCAAGAACGAGAACATGGGAAAGTTGGAAAGGATCAGTGCTAATAGGTTTTAAAAGGGACAGTTCATCCTTTAATCTAAAATAATTATGTTGCCATGTTGCCTCATACCGGTTTCGCTATTCATAAGTTGAGATTGTTTGGGTGTGAGTTGCCAACTGTTGAAGATATCGGACGTAGAGAAGTCTTCCTTCTTTCCAACAAAATGGAAGATCGCACTAGGCTTTTAAATACTCAATGACAATGTATTTTTCCAGAAATCCTGATCCAAGTACTCAAGGTAATAAACCATGTTGAGAGCATGTAGGAACTATTTTATTTCTACCAAACTACACCCACCAACAAATGAGAAGATGCAAGCTTTTGTTTGGTGATACAGTTGGTGGAGGTAGATAGTTGGAAAGAAAACAGTTCCTACATTCCTACAAACTGTTCACACCATAGTTTGAGGATAATCTTGAGTTTCCGAGTCATGATTTCTTCAAAGAGACTGTGCAATTACATTTTTCCCCAAACATTTTTTGGAGCCTTGATCACCACAATCCTAGTACCATTGTTCTAATATACTGGAAGTCATCTTCGGCCGATCTACAACACTTGGTAACTCACACAAAAACAATCTAGATTGAATGATAGCACTACCGGTAATTGGAATAATGTATATGTTTTATTTACCTGTCTCTTTAAGTCATTCTGTAGAAACCTTCTAATGAACTTCAAACTGAAAAGATGTAATCCAGACGAACTGACAGCCACCAAATCCACAAAACCAAATTTGCAATGCAAATATCTGTTACTACATCAAAGGGTTGAGTTCAACTGAATCTCAGAGCATAGCGACTTTCCCCGCCTTCAACTGTCAGTCTAACTGAATAATACCTGGAATAAGACACGGTGCAAATTACATTTTCTGCCGCAGACAATATTTGACATTGTATGGGCATAATCGGATTTTCCAAGACAGCAGATGGGAGATTGCTTGAAGACAATTTAGTCACTGACAAAAACAAAACCATCCTATTTGAACGTCTAAAATCTCAGGGCTCTCCCTTCAAAAGCCTAATTACCCAAAAAGTTGAGAGCTTTTGTGATCTGGCATAAAGAAAAACTGTGTCCCTGTCAGGGCAATCAAGGAAAACAAGAAAAGATAACTGATAATTATGTCTCAAGTGCCTCACATTGGGTACATCTTAAAAAACCATCTAATCTCATCAAGATGCCTCCTGCTGTGCTGCCCGTCAGTCATCTTCAAGTACCTCTGAGCTACTGTCAGAATTATTATGGCTCACCAGGGAGATGCACTTCATTATACACTTTTCTTAAAATAAACTGCAGATTGTTATGTTTGTTTCTGTGAGTAGCAGTTTCTTTCGGAAGGGGATGCACGTTTTAACTGCCTCTAGGAAAAGGAATAGCCATAAATACCTTCACTAATCATACAGCATATCTTCTGGCTTGAATTATTCAGTCTATTCTGGATCAATTATTCATAAATGAAAAGAGCTTACTTTTCAATAAAGTTTACAACCCTTTCTAAAAATATACGTTACCATACAACTAAAGTGCATTCTCAATCATGTTCTGGGGGAAATTTATTTTTCTCCTAAACTACCTTGGCAATGCCGTAAATTGAAAGAAAACAAAATCACAACAAAACTAGTAGTTAGGTTTAGTAAAAGATCATGGTTCGGCCAGAAATAAGTGTGTTTATTAGGTAATTTGAGTCAAATGGATGCAAAATGACAAAAGTCAAAGTTGAGTACGTTTTGAATTGACACGAGACACAGACATTGGCCTCCTTAATGAAAGCCCAGTAGTGTCCGAACCATCCCACCTACGAAGACTTCCGCACACTGATCAGAAATGTATCAACCATATCAGGCTTCTCACGTAATATGCCCGGTTTTGCTTCGATTGAGGCATTCAAAACCTCAATTCAACAGGACAGCGGCCATATGGGAAAATGAATGCCCTTTAATATAATGTCAAGCATCAGAGTTTACTGGACTTGAGATATTAACCATCGCAAAGCCCCCCCTCCCCCTTTATTCTACTCACAGCCTTCCTCTCCGGCGTGCCGGTCGGGGAGGTTCCTGACAGACGTTTCTCGCGGACCGACAGCTTGCTGTTGGGCTCCTTCAGGGCCTTCTTCAGCTCGTTGATGCTCGCCTGGTGCTTCAGCAAAACATCCTTCGACTTATCCAGAAACTGGAGGAGAAATTACAACAGGAGGGGGAAAAAAAGAAGAAACGAGGAATGCATTAGCAAAACGTTGACATCCTTTCACCAGCAGGACTCACATCAACATATGATATGCATGACTGAACAAGACATGAGAGAGCACTGAGGAAGAAGATTCAATGTGAACGCTTACACTTAAGTTAACTAAAGCTGGTGTTTTACGACTCTGAGCTGTGGCCCATGGAGAGCATTGACATTTCAGATGCTACTGAAGCTAAATTAAATCAATGAATGAATATGTAACATCTATTGTTGGACAATAGGGATGCACAGTATGTTTTTTTTAGCCAATACTGATATCTAATAATAACCTTCTGCTCATGTCCAAAACTGATGCGATTTATCCAATGTGTATGACTAGTTCATATTCATTCAAAATGAACTCATTTAAACTAATATTCTCCATGACCTTGGTTGGACAGTTTTCTATCAGATATGTTGAATACTAATGTTCAGCTCTGTTTTAAAAGTTCAAGTGGTACTTAGAGGTTGCATAGATCTACACTGAACATCATTGTATTTCAAGTAGATCATTTTCCTGTACTTGTGTAGGATTTTAAATTAAGGACGTTCTCTCTGTTCTAAAAATAGAGAGGTATTTCACCCGGAGACTGTCAAAGTAGATACCTGAACGTATGCTCAAAGAGGACCAATATTTTATAATTCACATTTCTTTTGATGCAGGCAAATCTGAATCTGTAAAAACCTCAACAAAAAAAAGCAGGGTCTAAAGACAGGAACCTGTACCTCCTGTTTGTGCCGAGGAGTGGACTCCTGATCCAACTGAGAAAGCTGAGTTGGGGCAGGAGGTGGTGCGAGAACAAGAGGTGGAGAGTGAGGGGTCAGAAAGTGCAGGAACAAGGTTCAGATGCAGACACGGGATGGTAGAAGGTCAGTCATAAAGAGGACAGACAGACAGACAGACCTACAGACAGACAGACAGACAGACAGACAGACCTACAGACAGACAGACAGACAGACAGACAGACAGACAGACAGACAGACACACAGACAGGATGTGGCCATGCCAAGAGACATTTAGAAACACATCCCAGTAAACATTTTGGAATAGATGATAATATTGAAATCTGATCTCTGAAATGGTTTTCTCTCCTTTATGACTTACTGTAGGAATAGGTTAGAAATAAAGGATTTCCCTAAATCATTTATCCCAACTTTGTTTCATTTCATCTGCGCAACAGGTGAGAAGCTACTGGAAAAGGTTTAGGGCCACGTGATTTTGTTTTTTGGATTGGACCAAAGTGATATTTTTCCTTTTCAATTCAGAAATTGAAGTCACAATTCTGACTTATGGTGAAAAAATAGGACCAAGATGTTTTCTTCCAGGTGAAGAAATTAATTCACTTTGTGTTTAGAGTGCATGGGGAAAGGAAGAAAACATGAATGCTTTTAGTCCAAAAAAACATAGGTTATGGGTGCACTTCAGCTTCTTCAGGCCACAAATTGTATTACAAGCAAACCCAAAGTAAACCACTCAGTCTTTATTTTAACAGTTACCAATTTTTCTCAAATGTCTGACTTTAATCTCAGAACTCCAAAAACAAAACGTTCACTAGCACGTCTTTTTTTCTCACCTGTGGCCCAGATGAAAAAGAAAAATCTACTTTAGTTCATCCTGACAAAACCTTTTTCCCACCCGTCTTCTTTCGTCATCACAGGAGACAAACTGATTTAGATCAGACAATTGAAATCGATCTGATAATCATCATTATTATAACATTAATATAAAACTGGAGGTTTATTTATCATAACATAAATACAAACTTATATTGGTTTCAACTGGTTTTAAAGATTTTTGAGCATTTCATGTTACTTCAATTTTCCTAACTGTACATATCACTGTCAGTCAAATGTTTGCTGGGATGCTTAGCTATGACAGTTCGCCCAGACACGACTTTTGCATCACCACTTACACAATAACACATTTCTACATAATGATGGATGAGTAAAGACAGGTTGACAGACAGAGACCAAATCACCAGACACCAAGTACCTCCTGTTTACTGTCAACTGGTGACCCAGCCTCCTCCTGAACGCCAGCATGAGTTATAAAAAGAGATAGCACGTTAGCAACAGAGCGCTAGGCTTGCATGTGTCAGCATAAAGAGAAAGGGTTAAAAAACTGTGAAGCTGTCAGCGGGATTTATGAGCAGTGCAGTGTAAGCAAATAAGCCTGAGTGAATAAGAGTGAAAGGAGAAGTTAGTAAGTGCTAAATCCACCAAAGCCACCACAGTAGTTCCATGCCGATACTGGATAAGCCCACATTGACCTGATGGGCTTTTCTGAGCCCATCAACACCCTTACTGTCAATGCCATGTCCCTGGAGGGGTTTTCTTCAAAGCTTTATTCATTTCGACCAGAGGTGGGAAGTAGTGGAGTACAAATACTTTGTTACTGTACTTAAGTGCATTTATCTGGTATCAGTACTTTACTCCACTACTTATTTTTCTGACGACTTTTTACTTTGACTTCTTACATTTTGAACACATATACCTGAACTTTCTACTTCTTACATTTTCCAAACAGGCTGGTTCCTTTAGTTTGAATGTGTGTTTGGTGGCGTGATCATTATTATTTAGAGTCATTGCGTGCTTATTGATTTGAACACGATCCGTGTATCCATCATTTCCTGGTCTTCTCTAAAGAAGAGGGACCAATGAAAACGTTGTCATGTTGCCGTTGTTCAGCATGGAAACATTCATTAGCTAACAATGACATTATTGTTCTATTAATATAAAGGGAGGTCAGGTACTCTTTAAAACAGCTGCTAGTTATGGGTACTTTTTACTTAAGTACATTTCAAAGTTCTTTACTTTTACTTGAGTAAAGACATTTAGTCAGTACTTCTACTTTTACCAGAGTATTTTTAAACACGAGTATCTGTACTTCTACTTGAGTAAAGGATGTGTTTACTTTTACCATCTCTGATTTCGACTACCGAAATCTACTTCCAAATCAGTGTGTCAGGAAATCTTAACTACCATGATCTCTTTCTTTCTGCTTGGAGTGACCTCGCCGTCATAGTACTCCTCGGTCATCTCGCTGTGGTCCTGGTCCTGGTCCTTGTCCTCGTCCTTGTCCTTGTCCTCGTCCTCGTCCTGCTCCGTGCTGGGCTCCAGCTCCACCTCCTGCTGCTCCTCCACCGAGGGGCTGTGGAGGCGCCGCTGCTCGCTGATGCTGCGGCGGGTGAGCCCGTCGTGGTTCTCACACATCGCTGAGACCGGCCTCGAGAACTCGGCTGGTAACGAGATGGATGAATTATTAAAGGTCCCCTATTATGGTTTTCATCAATATATAATAGGTCTCAGATATATACAAAACATGTCTCTGAAGTGTTTTGGCTCCAAACACCAAACAGATCATTGCAGCATCCCATAATCCCCTCTGTTTCAGCCCTGTTTCAAAAGTGCTGATTCTCTGTCTGTTACTTTAAGGCCCCTACACACCAGGCCGATATCGGCCGTCTTGCGTTGTTTGGCGACAACGGGTTCCTTGTCGCCCAAAGTCAATTTGGTGTGTCCCGAACCCTCGGCCGTGACACGCCTTATTTGGCCTTTCACGGTCGACACCCGGCCGATTCAACATGTTGAATCGGCCGGGTGTCGGACACAAGCTATCGGGCCAAGAAACCACTCTGATCAGCTGTTCAGCTAGCAAATGAGAAGCGAAACGGAAGTGAGGGACGTAAACAAACGATTAAAAAAGGCACAGGACAGCAGCTAAACCCCAGCAGGTGATACTTAAAGACATCAAACATAGCCCTTAAATGTCCTCTCTTACCTTCCACACATAGCAGGGACATCTCTGATATCGGCGGGAGCGTCCCCGGCTGTCCTCTGCTGAGAGCTCCGTGATTTGTTTGGTCAAGTCCGGTTTTTCATCTCATCGTAAATTTAGCAAGAAGTGGCCATTACTACATTGCTGACTCAATAAACTACACACCCGCCAGAACACTGCGATCATCAGATGCAGGTCTATTAACTGTGATTTTATAGTATGTCTGCACTTTATGTGCTCATTTCATCATTCATGTATTTTTATATTCTAAAACATGTTTTCGATGGACGAGAGTGAAAATGGAACGCACACGCTATTTGTTTGTTTATATCAGTCTGTTCTTCTTCTCTGTCTTCCGGTTGCTGCCTATTTTGAATGACGAATACACACTACCGCCGCCTGCTGGTAAGGAGAGTTATTGCCACTCACGCATGCGCAGTTCGTACGTGCTCGGCTGAAGTCTTTGCGGTGATTTCCAGTGCGACACACGGCCAAGACGCAGGAGAACTCGTCGATGGAACTGTCGGTGTCGGGTGTCGGCGAGTTCTCTGGTGACTGCCTGGTGTGTCAGGGCCTTTAGATGAAAATAAGGAGCCCCTCCCCACGCCCCTCTGAGAGATATTTGGTTAAAAAGAACACAATGGTGCTCTAGGAGGAGATTCAGGTGATAAGGTGGGGGGGGGGGGGGGTTACTTTGGTTGGTGATTGGCTAATGGTTACACAAGCCAAAACATCGTTATGACATCATAAAGTGGCCAAAATCTGATCAGCTCATTTTCAGACAGGTTTTTATATAAATGGATCAGGACAAAAAGAGAGAGAATCTTTTTTCCTGAAACTTTCAGAGTCTCTTTACACAGAGGGGACACATGGTTATGTATAAAAGACAAAAACAAGTGGATTTTGCATAATAGGTGACCTTTAACGTCTGGTCACCCAGAACTCCATTCATGTTGTTATTCTTCTTCTATGCCATAGTATGGTACCATCTGTTTTTCCCATACACTTAAAGTCACCAATAACAACAATGTACCATCCTTCCTCCTAGATTAGACTCCCCATGTACAGAGAGGCCCGTTTTAACAAGAACTAACACTCTCTTTTATGTAATGTCTATGCATTTAAAATATACTTTTAATGCATTCTTACAGAACTGTATTATATTTTATGAGCTCCCAAGTTAAGAATAGAAAAAAAAGCATAGTGCAATAACTTACACAGAAGGTCGAGTATCAAATACTTCTTAATTATCAGTTACTTACTTGTTTTGCAGAGATTTGGGTGTACTATAATTCCCATAGTTCAAGTCCTTAAAACTATAATCCAACTGTGCTTCACACACATTATCATGCATTTTAGATATGTTTATAATACATCATAGACTTGGATAATAGTATTATAATAGCCTAAAGCCATAACAGTTTCAGGTCTGGTGCTTATCTGTGTTTTTGAATAATTGTTCTATGTCTTATACTGTGGAAAATAATTAACTATTTATCTAGATCAAGTTAGAGTTCATTTCAAATGGGGTTTGAAAGCAGTAGTTGGACATAACATGCCCGAGGATAACAAAAAACAATGTAGGAAAACAACAGGGTTAATAAGCGGGACTACTTTTTGCAGTTAGGAGCCTTGACTTCCTGCACCCCCGTCAAAACAAAATGTATTGTTTTCACACTTTGATGTATATATTGATTAAACATTGACATGTCAACTAGTGATCTTTAATGCAAAGTTAAGATCTCCTGATTATAACTATGTTTGCAAGAAAGCAAGAAGACATACTGTATTTCCAGGAACTATTCATTCAAAGGTTTGCAACTTTAAGTCTAAATAAAAGTTATTTAGCGTCAAAGAGAGTGTTATTTAGCGTCAAAGAGAGTGTTAGCTCTTAGCTAAACGGGCCTTTCTGTACAGTCTAAACCTGAGTCTAGGAGGAAGGAGGGTAAATAAAAGCTCTTCAGACCCTCCATGAACAGATCAAACATCCATCGTGTCTCACCTCCGTCCAGGCTCCGGGACAGCAGGTACCTCTTGCTGGCTGAACGCTCAAAGTGTGGAGCGGGCCGGTCTATGAGAGCACTGGCCTGCCTGGTTTGAGCCTGTGTCCTTCCACTGTATCTGAACTTTGAACCCATCACCAAGAAGCCCTTGGGAGGAGGCTCTGGAGACACCAGTCTGTGAAAACAAACACAGTAATATTGCAAAATGTACCAAAAAAAGCTCATAGTCAGAGCTGGCTCAGGCTTACCTCGAACCAGCCCCTAGTTATGCTGCTATTGGCTCAGACTTCACCTTTCATCCTTAACCTTTCTATTCCAACTTCACTTTCTCTATACCTGCGTGCACTCATGTCCCAAAAATGCATGTTACTAACCCAGGGCGTCATCCCAAGATTTTTGTTGTCTCTCACCTGGATGGTTGCAAATGTTTCCTAATGTTACATCTGGATCACAATGTCTTTAGCTGATGCTTTTACCTACATACACTCAATACCGACAACGGGAGCAATTGGAGGTTAAGTATCTTGCCTAACAACACTTCGACATGTTGAATGTAGAGCGTGGGATCAAACTGTTAACCCCGGATTTTCAGATCAGTCCTCCTGGATCCTTCTACTTTATACACTATAATGTTTTCGTATTAATCGGGTTTTCTTTGTTGCAAATGTATGATCTTTTTAATCTATACACATGACATCTATTGTACGTCCTGGGAGAGGAATCCCTCCTCTGTGGCTCTCCCTGTTAATTGTGGAGTTTCGTGGGAGTATTTCCTCGTCTGCTCCAGGGTCTAAGGACAGAGGGTGTTGTACAGTATGCCGTACACATTGTAAAGCCCTCTGAGACAAGTTAACCATTTGTGATATCAGGCTATATAAATACAATCTGAATGATTGATTGAGCGTGATTGTGTCCGAAATGTTTAGTTGCTGACCAGATGGTTTCTTACCTGAAGAAGGTGTGATGCTCAATGCAGACCTTCCACAGCCTCTTGGCAGCTCGGTGGTTAGGAAGCTTAAAACCGATTGTACTTTCAAACTGCTCGTACTGGAGAGGAGAGAGAACAGGGAGACAGAGAGAGAGAGGTGAAGAAAGGTGAGTGTTTGCTCTGTTTAGCCGAGGGCAACCTCAGTACATCTCTGTGGACGGAGGTGTATGACAACCTGATACATTCATAAAATATTCAATAAGTGTAGTACCTCTTACACCTGCAGAAACCCTGAACCAGGTCAATAAGGCAGTCTTTACATTGTACTCACAAAGATACACAGTGGAGGAATGGATGTATATATACTATGTGTACTTTACTTGAGTATTTTCCTCTCAAGCCACTTTCTACTTCAAATCCACAACATGTCTGAGCTCAATGTTCAGAAACTAGGAGAAATTAGCAGGAAAACTATTCCATGGCTCTATATTTACACTCCTTATCCTTTTATTGTGGTTGCAGCTGCAGCGGCTCTGTTAAAGGGACTCTTTATTTGTCCGGATCACAGGCTCACTGTGCGGCTCTGTCACTTGACTGGGTCCAGCCCAGGCCGCCTGTCACACTGAGGCTCAGCATGGAGGATAAGCTGCAGCGCTGCACAATGAGGAGGGCCAGAATATAGACCGGCTGTGCAGAGGAGCTAAACTGGAGGTATAAAGCGGAGGATTTCACGGCCCTCTGCTCAGCAAAACTGGCCGTACATTCACTTCGGCAGTCACTTCAACAGTAACAGATTTGACTCAAAATCTGAGGCTTAAAATCATTTTTATGTTTATTTGTCTTTTCCAGTGAATCAGAGGAAAAGATCAATACCTTATTTTTGTCTTTATGCTAAATAAGCTGGAGATGGAAATGGTTAGTTTAGCTAGGTTTAGAGTAGTGTTTTTATATCAATCACTTTCATACATACCATATTCAAATCATAACACCTGTTGCATACATCTTGTGTTAACATGTTTAGTTTGTAGCACCTTTATCCGCGTAATTTGACACCTGTAGTATTTACATTCTACAAAAATAGAACAAGCAAGGGGTAAGCAAAGGGGTAACGGCTAACTACTTCTATGCAATTTGCTACATATCCGTAAAAAATCTCTGACTGGTTATTACGAACTCCGCACCCTCAGTGTGTAACACAGGCCTTATGTTACAAATGTGAGCGGAGATACTCCAATAACATCACTTTGATATCATTGGGGTTAAATTCTTAGACTTGACTAGGCTCTTAGAATTGTAGAGAATACCTTTTGCACACATTTTATTTTGTTAATTAGCACTACTGATGACTGTTCGACAAGCTTTTAATCATCCAATCTGCTTACCTCCCCAGGTCGTATCTTGATGTAGAAGTTGCTCCTCTTGTACGAGATCTTGAGGATCTTTGGCCAGGCAAAGCGGTTGATCCTCAGCCTATCTCGGTAAATCAGCAGGCCGTTGGCACAGACGCCCAACATTATTTCAATCCCTTCAGAATCCTGCAGCCAACAAGGGACAGCAAAGAGGCAGACATTGTAAAAAAGATACACTGTAATCATCCAAGAAATTAAATTAAAATGTGTAACAGCCAACCTTAGCGTGATGGAGGTCCACCCCGTACATCGACAGTTTCTTTGCGTTCTCCAAGAAGTTAATTTCAGCCTCTGCTGGAGTCATCCCCCTGAAGGCAGAACAATGATAGTCTGTGTAACAAACATCAACATGCCTTCTTATAATAAACTCATAATCTTACACAGCAGGAGCATAATTATCTTGGTAATATGCTTGATATCTTCAATTCTAAATTCCTCCTACCCATCCCCTGAAGCGTTGTGCTTGGACATATGCCAGAAAGCAATGCCAAATCAGAGTGGTGAGGACCCTGTAACTGAGAAAGTGTTTTCGCACTAGCAACACGTGCACTGTGTACATTTCAATGACAGATGGAGTGACAATGTGACGGCATCCATCAGCCATATGCATAGCGGGGTGTTTCCACACAACAAAAAACCCATAATCCGATCATATTCCCACAGGTTTGGGGATAGATGAAAGCAATATTGTGTCAAGTACTTGTAGTTATGATGGAGCTCCATCACCCTCTCCTCCAGCTCGCGAGTCTGATTGGGAGCGAAGCGGAAATCGCTGACGTAGTCGGAGCCGTGGTCGTCCTGGTCATAGTCGCCCAGCTCGGCTTGAACGCTGTAGGAGCCGAGGAGGGCGTGAGTGACGAAGGAGCATGGCAGCCGACCTGACAGCATGTCATCCCTCAGCTGCAGACACAGGTAGTATCTGACAGATGAGACAAAAAGGGGAGGAGAGGAGGGTGTTGGCAGTCAAACGAGCCCAAAGCAAAGCGAGCTCCAACAAGAACAACATAGTTAATCCAAGGCAGTTTGTAGCATTCCTGGCCTAATCCTCATAAAGGAGAGAGAGATTTGGGTTGCTTTTACACCGGGGCAAATTCACCATGTAAATTGTTGCAGTACGTAATGTAAACACTTGAATTTAGGGAAATAAATCATCTTCAAAAGTGACATGTGCAAGGAATAATGTTCTCCTCCGATTAACTCTGAAGAGCACCTGACAGCACAGCCAGAAGAGTTACAACTGTTAATATTTCAAGAGTGTGTGTGTGTGTGTGTGTGTGTGTGTGTGTGTGTGTGTGTGTGTGTGTGTGTGTGTGTGTGTGTGTGTGTGTGTGTGTGTGTGTGTGTGTGTGTGTGTGTGTGTGTGTGTGTGTGTGTGTGTGTTGTGTGTGTGTGTGTGTGTGTGTGTGTGTGTGTGCATGCGTGTGCGTGTGCGTGTTGGGGAGAGACGTGTTGTACCTGGTAATATCCTCCGTGAGCTGGGAGGGATCTGGAGGGTAGAACTTGACAGAGAAGGCAAAGTGCCACGGAGAGTCTGAAGAAAAATACAATGACAGCTGAAAGATTAAAAGGGACAGCTTATCTGAAAAAATAAAAATAAAAATCCTCTTATTGAGTGTTGAGGATATCAGCTTTAGAGATGTCTATCTCACATTGACCACCGGTATTAGATGGCAGATAGAGTATCTTGTGGTGCACAAATACCCCAAATACATTTGAAAAACTCAAAAGAGAGGTCTCTTTCCTGAAATCAATATTCAAGATAATCCACAGACTTTGTTGTGAGCAGTTTCATGTAAGAGTATTTACTTTCTACTGAACTACACCCGTCGACAGTAAAGAAGGAATCGTACATATATTATGAAACGTATAAACTATCCGATGTAAGCTAGCCGACGTAAACTAGCCGTTAGCTTAGAGCACTCTTTCTTCTGCGTTGTGTCATGAATGGTGAGAGTCATTTGGTTTAAAGAAAATAGTTCCTACGTTAAACTGCTTACAACAAGGTGTGTGGATTATCTTGACTAATCGGGTCACAATTTTGGGAAACATTACTATTGAGTCTTTTAAAATGTATTGTGTGGGCGCCTTGAGCCCCACAAGCCATGTACCATCTATATTGGTCTATTCATTCAACTCAAATCACACAAAAACAATCTTGATTAATAGCACTACAGTACATTTAAGAGGGAGCTTTTTGAATGTTGGGTAAACTCTCCATTTGACTATCTAAGGAAAATTGCACAGCATTTTAATTAGAAGTTAATTACACAACATGTTGAATCAGTTCATTTGCAAACAAAACTTCACCATAATTTACTTAAAGGGGACCTATCATGCAAAATGCACTTTTGTACGTCTTTTATACATGAATATGTGTCCCCGGTGTTCCAGGGAACTCACCAAGTGTCAGAAAACACAACCCTCTCTATTTTCCTCCATACCCAAATCTCTAAAAAAGGGGCTGCAACGGATCTGATAAAAACTGATCCAGATTTGAACACTGTCCTGACGTCAGGACGGTGGCGCTACGGCTATTGGGCCAACTCCACCAATCAGGAGGAGACAGCCACGGCCATTGCCGTTCGAAAGCGCTGGAGACGCTGTAGTACATATGCCAGGCCTCTAGATGGTGCTGTTCTCACTGAATCAGCCCTTGCTAAAACAGAGCTAGAAATGGTCAAATTGAGCAAAATGAGGCATGGCTAAAATGCATGATCTGTTTGGTATTTTGAAAACAAAAAAGTATAAATATGCCTTATATAGGTATGGTCCTACACTATATTATTCAAATATAGCATGATAGGTCCACTTTAATTTAACTTTAAAAACATTTATCATCTCAGTTCCTTTTAAAAATACTCACTGTGCATCTGCTTCTTGATCTCCTTAGAGGGGTCCAACCAGTTCTGGGAGACAGAAGGCAGAATTCACACAAGGCACAAAGGAAACGGGACTAAAGCACACCCCAGTGTCACAATGTCCTCTAATTGCCATCAGTGTTCCTAATGAAAGCCTTTCCATACGGTTAAATAAAGTAACTGAGCCCTCCCCTGCTGAGCAGACTTAATTCCAGCATTTGTTTCTTCATTGTGTTTCTCAATCACTTGCAGCCAGTTACTAATCGGATCAAATCATATCCGATTGTGCAGTGAACCGCTTTCGGCTGTAGGGGCACCATTTCTAAATTGTTTTGCTAGAGCGTCTCCTCCGTGGTGCAGTGTGCACCGACTTGGTTGTTAATCATGCCGTTTAGAGGCAAAGAAACACACAGATGGTAATAAAAGTCGGTAATGAAATATCTCCCTCAAGTACTTTTACACAGCTGAAATTGTTTTGAACTGTTAGCAACAGTAAACAATTTGGAGAAATCTCCTTTAAGATTGATTTGTTTTGGTTGTTTGTTGTGTTTTCTCCTTTCAATAGAATATTCTTACAAATGTAATTCCCAATGAGTTCTGGTCTGTTCTATATCTCAGTGAATCAAGTGTTTTACATTGAATTGAAACTCTCTACGGGCTTATGGTGCTTGAAGGAATCTACCACTGCATATTCATCCCATTATTTCACTATTGTTTCTCTCTGATGCCTCAAATCTAAAGAAAATCAGGTGGGTGTTGTTCATCAAAGGAGGTTTTTGCTCAAAATGTGCCTTTTTTTATTGTGAAAATCTTGTCAAATCTAGTTGAATTGATATGAATTATGTCTTAAAAAAACATGAAAAGGTAATGTGAATAAAAAGGGAAATGAAAAAGGAGATACATTTTAAAAACAGATAAATGATTTGGACATTAAAACCCCCATAATACACTACTGTAAATACATGTTTTGATTGAGATTAATGTCCTAAATGGCCCTGGTTAGAACCAGAAATCCAAACAAGTTGGTTTCCTTGGACTTTTTTCCATCCATTGACGATAGAAATCCCTACATTAAATTGTACTTAAACATGTTTCGTAACGATATAAAATATGTGGGAAAATGTCATTTCTATCCTGCCAGAACATTTAAACAAATCGATGTGGTAAATCTATGCCTTGTTTTTCTACTACTAAAAACAACAAAGATATTTCATAAAGCACCACAAATAACCTTTATTGCAGATACTAAATGAATCATAAAAAAAAAGACGAAAAAAAATATTTCTATTCACTTACAAACACAATAACATGAGCTATTATAATTTTCTACTCCGATCCTTTATCCTGTGACGGTGATCTCTGCTAACCTGAATACCTTACAGAACTTAAAAATCAGTGGCATGATTGCGATGTTGGTCAATCTGCAAGCATCTGGCAATTTGAACTGTGCAATTATGTACACACACACACACTCATGTACACTGGCATAAATACACATTCTCCTCCGGTGTTTAATCAGGCCGCTAAAGACTTTAATGAGCCGCGGGCATTTATCGTCCCCCTGCATCCATCTTATATCTGCAGAGGCCAGAGAGCACTCAATTAGCAGGACGCTCTCCGCTGCTTTGCCTTTCTCCGCAAGAAATCAGGGCGAACTTTTAATCACCGACTCTTCAAGGCTTCGCTTACGCTTTTCGCAACCTCAGTTCATGAAGCAATCACACGGAATAAATGTTCTACTCATTAAATCCTCGTTCCCCCAACCGAGACAGAGAAAGGGCATCGGAAATGACATTTCAATTCTCAGGCTTGTTTGATAAATCAATCAGAGATGACCCCACACAGCAGGCTCAATCTGCCCTCCGATAAGCCTTTCTTTGAGGAGCCTGTCATATCGTGCTAAGCCGCAGCCTTACCTACCCTCAAAAAGAGCACAAATATTTGAACTTCAAGCCTGTTTACCTCTTTAAACACCCCAGTTAACCTGTCTGTGTGGGCCGATGCTCCTTCCAAAGACTCCTCCGTCACATCAAGTCACAACAGGTGAGCTGGCAAAGCTGATAAAGGTGACAGAGGATATGCTCCAGGTGTTAAAAGGGACTTAGTCTTGTCATTTCTCCTATCTTCAAAAGGCAGCAGGTTCCTCGGTAGCCTTGTTGTGCAACCACAAACCTTCCCTAAGGGAGACTTGTGTCAATCAAAACTCATACATCTGAGAAAGAGCTTTAATACGTGCCGACGGCTAGGACCCATCAGTACAGAGTCATTTAGTCAATTATAAGATAATACGCCTGGTCTGTGCACCCAAACAAGTCACAGAGAAAAAACACACTCATACCTTCTTCTAGAAATGTCAAAATGGTCGTGAGCTGATTGGATTTTACTGAATGTACGCATGTATCAGAAGCAGAGATAATTAAACCTCAGAGGACAGAACCAAATAATTAAAGTGCGTCTGACAAGTTAGGGTCTTTTGGTAAATCACATCAACGCTTTTGCTTAGAGCGAGTTAGTCTGGCTGACCTTAAAGTTAAGACTGTGTAACTTTTGAAAGAAGAAATAACAATTCCCAAACTCGACAGTGAATTGATAAGCAGTATCACTAAATCTTGCTGAATTCAATACACATAATGAGGTTTTGCAGTTATGTCCCTACGGTATGGCTAGTTGCTGTCTTTACGACCATTCTTTGCTTTTGTTGTTCTATTACATAGGTTTGCATTAAAACGTGCCTATAGCCATGGCTTAGGGTAAGCTAATAAGTGGCCAGTTAACATTCTGACCAAACTATTCTTCAAATGTTCCTGATAAACATCGGCACTTGGCTTCAGTCAATGGAGGTTTAACTCAGATTATGTCAGAGCAGCCCTTCCTTTCTGAAATATTTGAACAACTGAATCTCCCACACAGTTCACGTCTTGCAAAGAGTATGAGTCATGTTTCTGTCTTTTTCCCCCAAACTGTTCTCCAAATGCCTTTTGTCAAGCCCAATCTTTGTTGGATAGTGCACCCCTGAGAGAGCTAGACCCAGCCAACAAGTGAGAGGAATACAGATTGTCCTGTGAGCGATGTGTTTATGTGCCGAAATGCCCCATGAGGGTTATGAGGTACACAAGTCACTGACCTTCTGGGTGTCGGTGTCAGCAAAGGTCAAACCATAGTAGTCCTTCTCCAATAAGTTGAGATGCTCACACACCATGTCTGTCAGGCTCTGTCCTTTGGAGTGTTTCTGCAAAGACAACATACAAAACAGAGTGTTAAAAAAGGTCAAGAAGAAAAAGAAAGCAGGGGAAATACTGTGTGTAACTCGTATTGGGCAACATTTGAGTCATCAATGTCAGACCCCATTAGACAGCTGTGCTTTAAGATTGCATTCCTGTTCTCATTTTCTGAAAGCAATAAAGCAGCATTTAGCGCTGTGTCACAGTCAGAGTGCCTCAAACACTTCACAGTAGAAATGGTGTGGGGAATTGCCTGGGTGGATTGGTCTTTGTACTGAAGGCAGAGATTTACTCTGCTATTGACAATAGTTCAAGATGAGCATTTCAGGAATGTTTCAATTCACCGTCAGGATACAAGTTAATTCAAGGTGGAGTTTCTTTGTGTGTTTATTTCTTTGTCCAGGATGCACAAATACACATTTTTGCTCATGGTGCTGAAGATAAATGTCAACAAATATCCATAAACCATTCAATAGTCAATAAGATAATTCAGTTTGGACTCAATTGGCGCACCCAATATTTCGAAGTATGTAAGCAGTGACTGTCACATTGGTAAAGCTCATAGAGGTCTGCATCAAATGTAGTTATAGAATGAAACACTATGGACATTTGTCATCATAGTAGCCCATTGGTAAGCACATGAAGGTCATAGGTACAAAACCTAGTTAGCCGGTATTCTGATATCTACAAAATCGAATAACCCTTATCTGATTTAAAGTAATTGAATTCCCTAGTATTGATTGCTTTGTAATTTAATTAATGAAAAGCCATTAACTGCTTGGTGAGCTGGTTTCATGCAACACAATGCTCATACTTAAACAGGTTTTGACTCTCATTGTATGGGTCACATGACATGTTGACTCAATATCGTCAATCTATGCACCGGCTCCATATGCCGCTGTTAAATATAGAACAAGGAATATAAGTATGGTAATGTAAAGGCTGGCTTACAAATAATGACACACACACACACACACACACACACACACACACACACACACACACACACACACACACACACACACACACACACACACACACACACACACACACACACACACACACACACACACACACACACACACACACACACACACACACACACACACACACACACACACACACACACACACACACACACACACACACACACACACACACACACACACACACACACACACACACACACACACACACACACACACACACACACACACACACACACACACACACACACACACACACACACACACACACACACACACTTCCTCCCCTGGAGCTTACTTTGTGAGGTGGAGCAACCAGTTGCCAGGGAAACAGATGCAGAATTATCCCTCTACTGTCTGTTTTACTAATATCTGAATGCAAGGAATTTAAAAGGTGTTCAACAATTGCCTAAATATGGGTGAAAGGTTGGTGGAGCAATTATGTAAACGTGCATATCATCTCTCATCATGTCAGTCAGTAAGTCCCGCACGGCGAGAGTGTCAAAGTAAAGCAAGCGTACGTTATAAGACACGAGTGACAACATTTAATTAACAAATCAGCATGTGGAGTCTTAATAATCCATGACATGATGAAGTCTATCTCTGGAACAATTACATATTCAATTGTACATTAATGATTTCAGCGCTGCCACCTGAATAGACATCCAAAATAATCTATGTAGAAAGACAACATTAAACACAACATTTCGCTCAAAATAGCCCTGTTTTGCTCAGCCAGGCTTTACCATTCAGGCGGATCACACTCCAGTGAGCAGAGGGAGAAGTCAGGGGTGAGTGAAATGAGTTTGGGCGTGGTGCCTCCTCTCCTGCCCGAGGACCACAGAGAGGCTCACCCATGCGTCCACGACAAGTGACTTAATTACCCCGTGAATGTGGCACCTCCTACAGGGAGAGCGTGGCCTGCCTTCACTCAACACTGTTATTAGCAACTCATGGTGGTGCAAGGGAGGTTTGAATGTGACAGGCATGAAGCTAGAAACCAACAATTAAAAACAGGAAGTAGGAGCAAGCCTGCCAAGACCTGGATGTGTTAGGCTCTCCCCTAACTAGAATTAAAAGAACGAGAGACTAAACAAGAGGCTACTTTGTGCATCGTTTGTGCATGACGGGCATATTCAAATATTTAGGAGCTTCAAAGACAAAAGCTTTCATAATGTTATCTATTGTTGTTCTGAAAAGGCCCCAGGGTTTTGCAGAATGTTTTCACAATGCTGAGAGAGTGTTGGTGTATGCATAGCATTCCTGATATTCTTACCTCACACACTCACACATACAGTAATACCGCCCTTCCCCCAACACACACAAAGTTTAATTCAGTTGTGCATAAGTATCCTAAGGGCTGGCTGATAATAACGTTGCTTTTCTATTTTCTCCTTGGCTGCACCTGGATTGCAAATATGTAATAACGATAGATCTCCTAGCAGCATGTTAGCAGCCTGTGCTGACGGCTTTTATTGGAGAAAAAGGGACATCCTGTGACCCTTAACATCTAATAAAGATTTTAGCACCAATACTTAATCAATGTGGGTACCGATACAATATATTGTTGTACCTTAGACAGGGTAATAGGAAAAGAAAAATGTAATTAACAAAATACAAAGAAACTGATCAATGTTTTGGAATCAAAATGTAGGCTCACATGAATTGGATGTTTAAGGGATCTGGTGCATAGCAACTAACAAAAGTCAATATACATAAATGAAAACAATTTACAATAGAAAATAGAAAATAAATATCGGTGTGTTTTCAAAGTGGAGCTGTGCAGAAATGTGCTGAATATTGAGCGGTTAGAAGATTGTGTGATACAGTTTAAAGCTCCAGAAAAAAAAAAGGGTGGAACTTGTAGTCTAAGTGTTTTTATGGTTTGGATTGTTTTACTTTTGTAAACAAGCATACACATCTGAGCAAGCATTCAGAACTAACTTACAATAATGACAAAACCCTAAACTCAGAAAGTCACACAGTCTTGAGTCAGTTTTGATTACCTTTAACTGACATGCAACCTAAACGACAGCACAGGTCAAAAACTACAAGTAACACGCATAAGCATCTGAGCAAGCAGTCAATGCTAACTTACAGTAATAACAAAACTCTGAAATCAGAAAGTCAATGCAAGACTCAAGAAACTAAAATAGTTTTGATTACCTTTTACTTACATGCAACCTCTTGAGGTCATGCAAACTATATGACGGCACAGGTAGCAAGTTGCATTGGGAAACCCTTTAGGTGGGCATACAAAGCGACCCACTACATCTTTGTCCAATTCTTATAACCTTTCATAACCAAGTATTTTGGGTGAGAGAAATTAAAATTGTCATATAAATAACATTGGTATGGTTCACTTGCCAGTGTTTTAATGTACTATCAGACACTGTTTCTTACGAATAGGGGTTCCAGAATAAAATATGGGTCATCTTCAAAGGCAAGGTCCTGTTTTGTCATTTGATAACTTCAATACTTACACTTTTTGATACTTGAGGAAATTGTACCAGTTAGACCCAGAAAGTTTTGAGGTTATACCCAATTGTTATTCCCAGGCCTTAACCATAAACATATGCAATACATCTCCAGTCCTCAAGACAGTTTTTCTGAAGAGTTGAAGAGGCAGAGTACTAGGCTGTGACTCACGCCGTATGCCACCAATTGGCATTATCTCTTAAATCTGGTCAACAGAAGCAGCGGTGCTAGACATCACGCCTTGGATTTGGGTGTCTGGAAAGATTCTCAGTGAGTGGGAATGGAAGTTAAGCCCGAACAAGAAGCTTAAAATAATGCAGCATAGTCAGTTAAGAAAATGGATATGAATTCCTGCCATCACAATCCTGCAAAGTACATTTCAAAAGGAGAGAAAGACCTATTCTATCAGAAGTGTGCCGCTGTGAGACGGAAAATCTCCGGCTTCTTTCGGTGCATTTATCTTAAGGCTATGCACTTACATCTTTCTCTTCTCTCCTTTCTTATGCATGCCTTCAGTTCCCTTTGCAAGCGAGCGGTAAATGTCCTCATCCCTTTGCTTGAGTAATGCCAACAGAGATCTGGTTTAGAAGGAAAGCGTTCATGTTGAACTATTTTTGTACGACTGTGTGCATTTCTGAAAATGTGTAACATTGCTTTGGCTCGGCCCCCTGGTGATCTCTCAGCAATGCATGGCACCCTTTTATTGTATTCTCTTTGTCTGTTTTATCCGCTCAGAGCAGCACTATAAAACACACAACTGCCCACAAAGGCCAAAACTGCAAAGGAAAATAATCATATTTCTCGTTCTTTGTTCAAAGCTTGTTAAGACTAATTGTAAAAGAAACTTAATTTCCACTGTCCGTACCTCAATTTCGCCTTCGAACTCCGATGTGTCCAGCAGGGTGATTTTGAAGGGGGCGGTTTTGAGTCGTTTGGAGCCTTTCTGGGGAGATTTGAGGTTCTTGTTTGGCGACGTTTTCTCCGACATGTCGTCTGTTTCTCTATTTTCATCCAGATACTTGGAGTTCTGGTCCTAAACATAAATGGATAAAATGGATAGTCGAATGACACAGTTATTCATTTTATCTGACTGATACATGAGTTGTAACTGGAAGGTGTATCTTTATCAGTATACAATTTTGTTATATGATTGTAATGGCCTATGAGAAAGTCATTGGTGTAGAACCTGTATTGTGACTTTATTAGTTAATGGCTTTTTGTGCCAGTGTGCTTATTCAGCATATTGTAGACCTAATGGAAACTACATTGATAGGCAAGCACTGAATACTGGGACAAAACAGATATAAGAAATGAAATACTAGTCATATTATCTTTGAATAGGGACTTGAAGACTGCTTCAGACCAGAAAAAATGGTTGGCAATATCAAGAAATTCTAGTAAGTAAAGTAATTAATTTCATGCTGACCTGTTTGGCCATCTTGCTGTCTGAGGCTGATTCCTGCATGCTCGCTGCTGCCCCCTGCTGTCTGGGAGGACTCCTGTCTCGATCACTTTGCCTCGGACTCTTGCCTCTTGCCTCGTCTCTTCAGAGAAGTAACACCAACCTGAGAAAGACAAGAAAACAACAAATATGTTAAAATAGTGTCTCAACTGCAGAGCCTCTCTTCAAAATGCCATGTCCAAATCTTTAATGCATGCTTTCTCCCTGCCTCAAATGAGCTGCGATGACAGCGGGAGCTCTTGAGACCGTGAAAATGCAATACCCAAATTGCAATCACCCTTAAATAATGGCAGTGCTGGCACCAGAAACCCACATTCATTACAAATTCTGAAAAGCTGTAGCTTCTTGATACAACACTATTTCCACAGACTTAGTTCACCTTGCCTTCAAGGACATTTACTTTAATTATAGAATCCCTCACTGAGCCAGATAATCATCATCTATTTAAGCAAGACAAACTCCAGCGCTAAGGCGGTGATAACCAAAAAAATGAATTAGCGAATAAGACCGTGAGCACTAATCATGATGGCCATGGCTTCAAACTGTTCCTTTAGTCGCAACCTTAAAATCAGATAAGGGTATTATCATCGCCGAGTGGGTATGAATGCTTGTAATTCTGCAGTCTGTATTGCTTCATGGAGCATGTAACTAAATTCAAGATAAGTTAAAGTAATATGCAGGGTCACGTCAAAGTGTTGCATTTGATTTGTCGGTACCACTTTACAATAAGACTACACTTATAAAGGGTTTACGAATAGTTTGTAATTCATTTATTAATTAGGTTGTGAACACTTTATAAATCATTAATAGTCTTTTATAAGACATGAGATACACAGGGCAACTGTGACCGGTTGCTTGCCAAATAGTGAGCCCACATTTATCTGTACTGCTAAGCCTTATATTGGCTACTTAGCTTACTTCGTCTTCTTCATCAGCCAGCATCCTTGGTATCTGTTGCTCACTGAGTTGATTCTCGCTAAGTAGCCAATATAAGGCTTAGTCATCTTGCCAAATAGTGAGCCTGTGTTGATGTATGAAAACTATGTTAGAACTGGTTTATAAATGGTTCTTAAGGATTAATAAAGTGTTTACAACCTAATTCATAACCTAATTATAAACCCTTTATGAATCCTTTATAAGGGTAGTCTTATTGTAAAGTGGTACCGATTTGTCTAATAAAAACATATACAAGTGCTTTTTTTTCTTAATGGTAATCCAGTTTCCTATAGCTTCACCTCCTCAACTTCTACATCACTTTGTCAATGTCTTTATTATCCTGAAAATCAGTTGGAATGCATTGCCTTTAGTTGCATGGTGTGGGTGGACTGAATAATAAGAACTGCTAAAGTAGTGGGCAGCCAGTTTTCTTGGTTTAGAGAGGTGTGCACTGTGAGCACGTCTCATAGAGGCTCACCGGAATGATATTAAGGATATTTTCACATTGACACACATGGAATAGTGAGGAGAAATCTTCATTCTTTGTTCCCGACAAATACTTCATAGACCTTCACACCTCATACTGTAATATTCCCAATACAATATGTTAAAGGGGCCCTATTATGCTACCTTTCATGTAGTGTTATAAGCACTCCAACATATTGTACCTCATAGGCTAAGGGGCGGGACATCTCTAAGCGGTTGATCAATCACAACAGAGCCGGCCAGCTAACCAATCAGAGCAGACTGGGCTCTGGATTCAGACAGAGGGTGAAAAGAGGTGCTGCAGCACAGGCAGTATGAGAAAAAGAAAGAGCTTTTTGAACATTAAAGCATGGAGACATGTCCCAGTAGAGACACACCATACTGATATACACCTGAACATCAGCAGGAGAGGACTCTTTAAAGTAGAGACACACCATACTGATATACACCTGAACATCAGCAGGAGAGGACTCTTTAAAGTAGAGACACTACATACTGATATACACCTGAGCATCAGCAGGAGAGGACTCTTTAAAGTAGAGACACTACATACTGATATACACCTGAACATCAGCAGGAGAGGACTCTTTAAAGTAGAGACACTACTGATATACACCTGAACATCAGCAGGAGAGGACTCTTTAAAGTAGAGACACTACATACTGATATACACCTGAACATCAGCAGGAGAGGACTCTTTAAAGTAGAGACACTAAATACTGATATACACCTGAACATCAGCAGGAGAGGACTCTTTAAAGTAGAGACACTACATACTGATATACACCTGAACATCAGCAGGAGAGGACTCTTTAAAGTAGAGACACTACATACTGATATACACCTGAACATCAGCAGGAGAGGACTCTTTAAAGTAGAGACACTACATACTGATATACACCTGATCATCAGCAGGAGAGGACTCTTTAAAGTAGAGACACTATACTGATATGAACCTGAACATTTGCATAACATGTCTTCTTCAATCAACAAAACCATAGTGGACAATTTATTGAAAGGCAAGTGAAAAGCTAAAGTGCAGATTTGGTAATAATTGGAATAAAACATTTTAAGTTTGTGCTCTATAAGACATCGAGCATCATTGACAAATATATTTTATTTTACAATGTTTAGTGTTATGGGTAAGCCCAGTGTTTTATTAACCATCTGCGTTCCTATTCCCCAGCAGATTAAAAGAAAGCTTCTGACCCTGGAACATGTTCTTTGTGACCTTTCATTAAATGAAGACGAGGCCCATTATATGAGAACATGTCCTCAGTGGTATCCTCTCAACACAGCATAAAGAAACAATGCCTGTGTATAATAGAATTCCCCTGACATTACTCCAGGTCTTTGTATTTAATCCAGTCTCGGTTTGACCCGAGAGGTCTCTCTGGCCCGCGAGCAGCAAATCACATCAACATTATGCTTGGGGGGGGGGGGGTTATAGGGGATCGTGGCTGGCGATTGATGTGGGAACTTATCCGGTTAACACTGGTTCAGAGGAGAGACAAACCCCCTCTGGCAACCAATCAGGGCAGGTCTTGACATTTTGCACATGGTTAAAGGAGTGTGAAACCCTTCCACCTCCCTCCTCCGCCTCCTGTTCTAATCTATCACAACCTTGCCATTACTTACAATCACAGAGATTTGACAGAAATGAATTCCTCTCCTTGGGGAGAACAGTGAGGCGTGGAGTGGTATGTCCACTCATCTTCTCTCTCAGGCACTGGACTAGAAGTTGCTGAATACATTTTATTCCACTGGCTGAATCATGGATGTGTAAGGAATAAAACAATATATTTTACTGGAACTTTAAATAATATTATATACTGTCATAGTGTTTTCCCACAGACTGAATATGGGGGACACCATGGACCTCCGGAACCGGATGGTGTTGTTAGCCATTAGCATGTAGCTAATAGTATATCGTGAATGTCAATATAAGGAGAATGACACGTGGAGTTACATACTAAACACACTGTCTTCAACTCTCACTCATCTACGCTGCAATACTGTTATTATGGAAAGTTGAAAGTGGACCGATCATGCTATATTTTAATAATATATTGTAGGGCCATACCTACTGTATATAAAACATGTCTGTGAAGTTTTTTTTTCAAAATACCAAACAGATCATGCATTTTAGCCATGCCTCATTTCGCTCTATTTGCTCTTTTCCAGCCCTGTTTTTGCAAGGGCTGATTCTGTGAGAAGTCTTCTTCGCTGCTTTTGTGGCAGACTGCAGCGCCACTTACAGGCCTGGCATATGTACTACAGTGTCTCCAGCGCTTTCGGGCGGCAATGGCCGTGGCCCAACCCCCCATTCCCCTGATAGGTGGAGAGTTGCCCATACAGGCGGAGCACCCTGTTTCTGACGTCAGAACAATTTCAAATCTGTATCAGATCCGTTGCAGCCCTGTTTTTAGAGATTTGGGTATGGAGGAAAAGAGAGAGGGTTGTGTTTTCTGACACTTGGTGAGTTCCCTGACACACCGGGGACACATATTCATGTATAAAAGACGTACAAAAGTGCATTTTGCATGATAGGTCCCCTTTAAATGACGAACAGATATTTGAAGAATTGTAAAATTAGACAGCAGAAGACAATAAGGCAGGACGTGTCGTGGACCCGCCCCCGTCGACTTCAGCCAATGGGAGAAGACTTTAGATGATAATATGTGATGTAAACACGATATCCGCTCTCTTTCTCATCCTTGCAATTGGAAGGAAGACCTCGGCCGAGTACTTTTGCAAACTTATTGTATCATTGTATTAAAAACGCTGTTAACTTGAAGAGAAGCTTCCTGGACTCTTTTTAGCTATTCCTGACTCAGAGTTATAGAAACCCCTACAGATGCGAATGCCAAATACACTTCCTGATTGGAAGGGAAAAATCCATCATGTGTGGTGTTCAGATGGCGAAAAGCCGCTGTCTCACTGTTATCGCATTCGACTCCTAGTCAGATCTATTCAAGCTGAAAATAACAAGCGTCTTCTCAGTGTGCAATACAGGTGCGCACTTTCTCATCCGGACCAAGTGGACCAGACGCTGACGTCCTCCTTCACTTAACATCCATCTGGGCTTCATGACACAATGCATCCGTCTACAGCTGTCTGTGAGAATACTCCAGTCTCCTGTGCTATGTTCACAGTAACAAATAATCTGAAAACAGCCCATCTCGCCATCTATGCTCCCCACTGTGGACATCTTTCACTTCTGTTCTCAACACATTAACGAGCACACAGCCAAACATGACCAGTTCTCTGACCAGCCAAATCAATAGTTGCTGTTGTGTTGAAGTGGTCACAAACGTTGTGTACGATATGTCAGCCAAAATTGTAAAAGCCCTATGAGGACACAACATTAAAGGGGCCCTATTATGCTCATTTTCAGGTTCATATGTGTTGTTTGTTCCTCTACTGAGACATGTCTCCATGCTTTAATGTTCAAAAAGTTCTTTATTATTCTCATACTGCCTGTGCTGCAGCACCTCTTTTCACCCTCTGTCTGAAACCAGAGCCCAGTCTGCTCTGATTGGTTAGCTGGCCGGCTCTGTTGTGATTGGTTAAACGCTTAGAGATGTCCCGCCCCTTCATCACATCACGTCCAATGTGTTTGAGTGATAACCAAAAGAAGCGCGAGTGTTACAAAGTGATGTCACTACGTTACAGAAGAAA